TAGTTAAAGAAATGTGCAATATCTCTTTACAAGGATGAAAAGGGAATGCCATTTATGAATTTTAAAATAGTAAATGCTATAAAACATAAAGATGGAATTTAAAACTATTAAAATATAGCATATCTATTCACTGAGGTTTTAATCAGTAGCTGTCACACAGAGATATAAAATAGGGTTTCTGAAAAAAACCAGGGCAATAAAATTAAAGATTCAGGTGAAGCATATGATTTTAACTTGTTTACTGATGTTCTCACCTGAATTCCATCTGGAATGAGAACTCTGCAAGACTTCTGTTTTATCTTGAATTCAAACATAAAATTCAATTATTTGCAGGCAGGTTAAGAAGGAAATTAAAGGATGGACACATGTTACATAAAAAGGAACCCCTTACAATAAAATAAAGCAGAAGTATATTGCCTACATGTCTATGATTCTGAATACAGCTATAATGGGATTTTTTTTTTAAGTAATTACCTACATATGTTAACTGAGTGCAAAAAAACTGCTCTTGTATTCGAAAACTGTAAACAACAATTATTTACGCGAACCATGTGCTTATCAGCGCGCTTGTGAGGTCAAGTTGCCAGAACCCTGTTTAATTGCATGATCACAGCTCGGACGCTTCTTGCAAAATGTGATGACTACCAATTTTAGAGATTAATTCTTCAGTTTCCAGCATAAGGAAAAATATATCGTATCGCAAGCATGTTCATCATAACGCCTCGAGATGTTGAGCGAAGAGAAAGTGGCTCCATGTTTTGTGACACAAACCATTTCCTGAAGTTCGAACGAATCGAGTAGAAAGCATGAAAACATAGCGCTGAAAAGTACGACAACCAAACAATTAAATTCACTCATCCCGTTGTAGAATCATCTCCATTTTACCCGTGAGTTTGTTTGCACCACTCATCTCAGATGTTTGACGGGTTCTCACATGACAATATCGTCAAAATCAAATTACCGCGTAAACATGAACATCGCTGACTCAGTCCCATTTTATTTTAATTTTGGGAGAGGCCATTACTTCTTTCTTATGGTAAAACAACACATCTTCGGCAAAGCGCAAATTTTTCAAACGAATAGAGTAAATCCTGCGATAATTAACTGAAGAAAAAAAAAGTAGAAACTTGCGCTGGCTGTTCGACATCATTTGAAAACTTTCTAGGCCAAACAAAATACGTAAGGTAACTTCTTTTCCCATAACATCACGACTGTATTAAACTTTCAAACGAAAGGACAAGAAATAGCTTGAAGAATACGAACACTATGCAATATTATTCGAGCGATGAACCGGCGTAAGAGTTTTTTAGGCGACGAATGCCAGAGTCAATGTTTAACCGAAACGTGATCAGTTGAATTAAAAACTGAAGCTAGTATCAAACGACGATTGGTAAAAAAAAGTTTGAATTTTTTTCTGGGTCTTAGCGTAAGAGAAAACCCAGATAAGACACGACTTACCTCCTCTTCTTTCGCGGATCCTCTGTAGTTCGCTTCTCTTTGTTGATGACCTCTTTTCAGTCTGTTTTCAGAAGCGACTTTGTATTTCCTTCTCGCGTTGCTCTTCGCTAGAAACTCGCCTTTTTACTTGTCCATTATTGTTCCCTTTCGCGTTCCTCTTGCCGTATTCTGCCTATTTTGGCTTCCTTTGTAACTTTCTTGCGCGATTTTCTGGACTCGCTTTACGCTGTTTACTTGTTGCTTTCTTTGGTCGCTCTGTCTCTTTATATCCAGCCTATTTTCAATTAAAACCCTCTCTTCACGAACTTGAATTATAACAATTTCCTCCGGTTGACTTAAACTCTGCCGGTATTGTTGTCTTACGAGTTGTTTAGAAATTGCAAAATACTGAGAATTACTGTTCAACTACATCTTGACCAGTTTGATTTCCCGCTCAAAACGCGGGTGGCAAATTTCATCTACTAGCTCACGTGAAGCCCTCGTGCAATGCCTAACTGTGTGCCCGCAGTACGCTACATTGCAGCTCGACGTTCGAGTATGCGCACTTTATCGTCATCTGACGGTGTCTCTTGGGGTACACTAATGGGGTTTATAATAAAGTTCGGATATAACGCGCGCTGTCATTGGTTGAAAGAGCGTGCTCTATGAGAGTATAGAGCATAGAGCTGAGCTAAAGCTGTCACGCCATCTGCCAAATTGTACTATGTTCGACCTTTTCCGGGACTTCTTTTTAGCTTTTTTCCGATAATTGAAAGTGAAATTTCGGAACAAGCGAGCCGGCAAGTAGCAACAGAAGAACCAATCAAAGATTTGTAAACTTACCAGGCGCCGTAATTTACGTTATTTAAACGCGAGCAGATACGAAAATCCTCAAAGGAAAAACAAAATAGACAGTCCGAGTTTTAAAGATTTGCACGCTCAGTTAGATTGCAAGCTTACGAACGGAAATAAAAATCAAACACAGCTAACACTTGTATAGTATATAAAGTTCAGTGTTCAAATACAAAACTGAACAAAACAGAAATGATGAAAAATATAACCAAACTGGCAAAACTGTTAAAATTCATTCTAATCATGACGGTGTCTGCGCGAATATGATCATCCTGAAGTCCATCGCGGCTCGCTTATCATGGCGATCTCCGGTCATCACAGTAAAGCAAGCCTCAGAAACTACATCGGCCGCTCTTCGAGTCAAAAAATAAGAGCTTGCTCTGATATCCTTTCCGATGTGTTGAGTGGAAAGTCACATCAGTCACTGCAGCCGAGTTTTGCCGCGCTGTCATCCCGAGCGATCTTCATGTTCCGGTGAATTCGGCTGTCGTTCATTCAAAATGCACTCGCCTTGAACAGTTTGTTTCCTACCTTGTCATGTGAAAAAAATCGCGTATTTTTATGAGCCATAATTCGGCTGAAGTTCACTGAACATTTCACTTCAAGATTTTGTATTAGAGACTTAACTTCAGGCAAAAGTGTTAAATTCGACCTGCCGAACTACTTTAGTTTGTAAACTATCGTAGAATATGAACTTTGATGGTTTTTGAACTTTGATGGTTTGACACTTTTGACAGCTTTAGTCTTGTACAGCCAATCAGATTACTTGAACCATTCTAACAGGGGTTCTGATTGGCTTATTGAAGCGTGCTTTATGAGAGTATAGAGCATGCTGGCGACACTGTTATTCGCTTTGGGAATGAAATTTGTTTTGAAAATTGAAAGTAATGCTCGGGGAATTTAATGAATTCTTTATTATAAAACAAATAGAGAAACCTTGACTGTGTTCTGTTCTGTTATAAAGCACTCAGGAAGCGGCTAGAGCACTCAAGAAGTGGGGAGAAAGACGAGACTACGTCTCGTGTTTCTCCCTACACTTCTTTCGTGCTCTAGCCGCTTCCTAAGTGCTTTATAACAGAACAGAGCACAGTCAAGGCTTCTCTATTTGTTAAATCCAAGTTACGCACACAATCGCGCTTGCGCATTACCTTCTACCTCGCCCTTCCATTACGTAATGGCTAAGATAGTGCCCGTGGTACAGTTGGCCGCGCATGCTAAAAGTAGCACCTTGTACGGTCGTACGGTCGTACAACCAAATTTTTTCGGCTTGATGGGTTACTACTACTTCGTATAGTTATGGGGCTACACTGGAGCTCCGCTAATATATAGATTTAGCCAAGCCTAAAAGCGGAGCTCGCATTTTTTTTCCCGCACGTCTCAAGGACACAACGCCTTGCCCCAGGACTATAACCCGGGTCGTCCGACTCGGAGCCCAGTGCACTGACCACAGGACTACTGAACAAAGCCGTGGCGTTAGCGTGCCCGCGGTACAATTGACCACGCATGTTAAAAGTAGCACCTTGTACGGTCGTACGGTCGTACGGTCGTACATCCAATTTTTTCGGCTTGATGGGGTTACTACTATTTTATATCATTATGGGGCTACGTTCTGCGAGCTCCGCTATTAACAGTTAAGCTACTTACACTGCAATACGATTGCTAATGCCAGTTGCAATATGATTAGATTACTTGTGCTGCTTACAACTTTTACACCTTTGACATAACAGATATTTGTATTCTTGCATTACTTAAAATCCTTGTTGTATTGAGGAGGCGAATTGTAAAATCAAGTTATTGAACAATATTCAATTTCCCATTGCATTTGGAGTTTAGTTTGAACTTCAGAAACATTTGGTTCTTAAAAAAACCCTTGGACGAGTAAATATATAGTGTTTCATGAAAAGCAAAAGAAGATCCAGTCTGCGCTTTTAGATGGAGGTTAACGAAGCTATTTCATCAGTCAAAGCAGATTTTATTCAAGTTGACTAATATACTAGCTTGTGAAAGATAGAGCTAGTACAGAGACGGAAGACAATGACAGATAATGAAAGAAAGCTTATGAAGTCTAAGAGAATCTTCCTGCGTTTTACACTTCCAAATGAAATATTCGGCAAAGACGACATGGGCGACAGGACTTCTTGCTTTCCAATCGATCATTTCGTTCTTTTCAAGTTTGCAATCCTCAATCCATTTTCTCTGTCATTGAGTAGGACATATCTGCTTCATAGAAACCAGCTTCTAGTAAAATACTTTATTGGTCTCTTTGGCTCCTAGGAATCCCTCAATAAAGTTTTCAGAACGGAAAGCACTCTACCTCTGTTAACATGTTTCTTTGAGTGACCTTATAGAAGACTGCAATCCTTTAATAATAAAATTTGTATTATTAGTAATGAAACGGTCTTTCAGTTCCTCTCAAACTCAAACTCATGCCCTTTTACGCCTAAGTGACGTGTAGAGCAGCAACGTGCCCCCTCTACATCTGCCGTCATTTTCCTTCCCAGGTCTTGCTCATCTCCTTAGTTTCTATCTATACCGTCCGCCGCCAGGTGTTCTTGGGGCGGTCCCTCTTACGTTTCCCTTCAAGCGTCCAGCGGTTTTTGCGATAGAGGTCTCTTGGCGGGTGACATAAACAATCCACCTACAGCGTCTCCTCATCAGGATGGTAGCCATTGGTTCAGTTCCAGAGCATTCAAAGAAATCTTCATTTGAGATTAAATTTGGCCAGAAGTTGCGTAGGGTACGCAGAACGCTCCCGGTGTGAAATGTGGAGAGTTGTGATAAATACTTCTCCAATTTTTTAGGACGCAGCTGTGATAGAGTTTCAGCTTAGTACGAGTACTGTAAGTGGAAGAGCGCCATACCTTATTCATCATGTTGAGTGAGTTTCTGGTCTTGTTGAAACAGCTGTGGATGTCCAGTTCAGTTCGTCCATCTCCATTGATGACGCTGCCGAGATAGGTAAATCTATCTGTGTAAGGAAGATCTTCATTATCGATTAGATTGGGCGTGTGTTGATAGTATTCAGCGCAATAATTTCGGTCTTCTCGTTGCTGATGTTGAGGCCAACTTGCTTTGCAAAGGTGTTAAGGCTTTGAGTCTTCTCTTGAATGTGCATGTGGGTATGTAATAGTAAGGCTACATCATCAGCGTAATCCAGGTCTTCCAAGTAGGAGGGTGTCCATCTGATGCCCCTAAACTGATCCTCAGTGGTTCGCTGCATGATCCAATCCACAACAAGACTGAAAAGCAGTGTGGACATGACACACCCCTGCCTGACACCAATGCGGAGATGTCACCATCACAGAAACAACCGTTAAAGTTTTCATAGAAGCTTTTGATGATCTCAACAAGGTGAGAGGGGATTCCATTCATTCGAAATATCTTCTGGAGGTTGTGCCCGTGCTCGCTGTTGAAGGCCTCGGCAAAATCTGCAAAGTTCACATAGAGAGTTTATTACCATTCGGTACTCTACCCAATAATATTTCTCGGCATGAAAATATGATCGACACAACCCCTTCCCCTCCTGAAACCTGCCAGTTCCTCGCGAAGTTTAAGGTCATGATGACTTTTGGTAGGATCTTACTAGGAGTGGATAATGGAAAAAAAAAAACAGAAAAAAAAGGAAGGGAAAAAGGGCAACTGACATGTACCAAAACTGTATCAAAAAAAAAACACAGTGCACCCATATGATAATTTCTTAGAACAAAAAAGAATCAAGTAAAAAAAATAAACAAAATGATAAAATATAAAAATGAAGATATTGTGGGGAAAAATAGAAAGACAGCAAAAGCAAAATGCAGATTTCGCAGGGAGGAGTAACTCGGCCCCCAAGCCAGATTGAGAGTTACTCCTTGTCCGCCAGCTCCAAATCATACTCGGGGAGAAGTTATTCGGCCCCCAAGCCAGATTGAGAACAACTCCTATAGCGTGATTTGAACCGTCGTTGCGCGCCTACGATTGCCGCTCGACCATCTCGAAATTACATATTTTATAAGGATAAATTGTCGGTGTAAAGAATTTTAAAATACCGGGTTGGGGGGGAGAGTGAGGGACTTTGTCTGACTGAGAGTGCAATCGAGCGTTTCCGGTCAAGAATAAAGGAAATTAATCATACAAAGAACTGATAAAAATGATATAAACGTGGAATGTAAAATTTACATATGTCGTAATGGCGGACGGATTCGTTTGCCGGGGCTTGTTATCCACAACGATTCGGACACTTTTCAAAGAAGCTATCAAATGTGTGCATTTGGAAAATGATTGCTATCCAGGTTTTTTACGCATTTTAATCTCTGTGGATGCATTTATTACAAATACATTTCTTTTACTTTATGTTCACTTTTCATATGACGCGGTATTTCTAGAACTCCATTTGTTAGATTAATGAACAAAGACTTAAAACATTTGTGGCTGCGCTGATCCACAAAAGCAACAATTTACATTTCGTTCTCGCCTATAAAACATACCATCAAAAATACGTTAATTTTTGCAGAAAACTTGGATCCCCCGCCAAGAGGTTTGAATATCCATTATAAAACTGAAAGACCAAAACTGGAAACAGGAAAGTAAGATTCTTCAGCGGGTAGTGTATCCTGTTATTATATTGTAATTTAAATTTATTGTAATTTTATCAAACATTCTAATAATGTACTGTTTAACTTTTAATATTTTTAACTATTTCCAATTAATTATTATATAACACTGGTGCTAAAGGTAACCATTCCCCCCCAAAGAAAAACAAATTCCACATCAACAACCTCTTTTCCTTTTCTGTCTTTTGCTTTGATATTCCTCCTTAGTTTTTCCACCGATCTTTTTGCATTTCTCCCAGGTGAGTTTTTCCCATCCTCTTTGGTTGTCCACTCTTGATCGCCAATCCTTGATGACGTCACAACGCCTCAAAGCGCATCTTCATGTATATTTGAAACGTATCTTTGGACGACCAAAAGGACGTTTACCATCGTTCAATTCGCCAAACAGTAAGACCTTAACTGGTCTTTCATCTTCCATTCTAGATACATGGCCTAACCAGCGTAAACGATTTCTGACTAACTTGACTTCCATATTCTCCAAACCGGCTCTAGTGAGGACTTCTCTTTTGCTGGGATATTGATCCCATTTGATCTCGAAATGTTTCTGAGATGACGCTGTTGAATTATAAGAATTTGCCTAATTTGATGATGGTCAAGGTTTCATTCCTGTACATTGATATAGGCAGGAGGCTTTGATTGTAAACGTTGATTATGGCCTCATTTGTGAGATCATGCGAGTTAAGCACTCAAAAGCTTTTCTACGCGAACTTGAATTGTAATAATTTCCTCCGATTGACAAAACTTAAGCTCTGAGAATTGTTGATTTCCAAGTTGATTAGAAATCGCAAAATACTGAGAATTAACGTTCAACTACAACCACCAGTATGATTTCCCGCTCAAAACGCGGGTTTGCGCGGCTTCACATCTTCCTCACGTGAAGCCCTCGTGTAACGCCTGACCGTGTGTACCGAAGTTCAGCACTTGAGTATGCGCAATTCATCATCATCTACTAGTGTTTCCTGGCGCACACGAATGGGATTTCCAAGTTACGCATGCATTAGTGCGAGCCCATTAACTTCTCCCTCCCTCTTCTAATGATGTAATGGCTGAGCTTGTGCCCGCAATTCAGCTGGCCCTGCATGCTGAAAGGAGCACCAAAACACCACATTATCCAGCCTTGATGGGTTACTACTGATTTTCAGAAGAACGGGTCTATGCTGCGCGCGCTCGCGCGCTACGAGCTCCACTATAACACTTTAAAGAAATTCTATTCAGCGGAACAACACCTGTCAAATTCGCGGCTGTGCTGATATACGAAAGGAGCATTTCGCATTTCCTTTTCGTCTATAAAACATACCATCCAAAATACATTCATATTGGCTCAAAAATTAGATCCTTTACCAAGAGCTATAGATATACACTATAACACTGCGAAGCTAGAGGCTTTACCGAGACTGGAAACAGGAACTGCTTTTTGTTTCGCTTTTGTTTTGTCTTTTTCTTCTTTTTTCTATGCAACAATTGTCAAAATTACCTCGTGTTCGTTATCTATTTTTTTTATTGGTAATTGGACTGACATAAACTACGTCACTGCCCGGGAATCTTCGGGAATCAAAATTCGACCGAAATCGCTTAGAGGCATTCTCAGTTCGGATAATGGATAATGCATAAGTAACGAAAAGAAAGAATTGGGGAAAAAAGTAAATAAAATAGCTACAGAAAATGAAATGATTTCTAATTTGAGGGAAAATGTTATTTCTGACGATTGAGTTTGCGAATAAGGCAGAAAATAAATATTTTGTTGGCACGAGATACGACGAGGCCCGGGCCTTAGGCTTGAACTTCATGGGTTATGATGCAGTGGTATGTAATGGGGAATATAGCACGTAATGTCCATCTAGGCTTCAGAACCAACCTTGCACCTTTGGCTGATGCCAAATTTATTTAAGTTTGAAAGCTTATTTTGTTTTAACTGTGAAGTTTCGTAGGATGGGCTGCTAACTGCTCTGAGTTTGGGTTCCTACCCAGATTTCCTGCCATATTTTTCCCTAAAGGGGTTTTTTCTTGGCAAGTTTTTTCTGGCCTCCGTATAACCGTACCATTGTCCTTGTGAGTGGTTGCCCATCTCTTCTAATCCCGGCTTTTGAATGTGTAAGGAATTGATTCGATATCAGGATTGTACATGGTATATCAGTTGCGAATGTATGCATGTATGTATGCCTCGGGAAATATATGCCTCAGGTTGGTTCTCGTCAGGCTTCCCTAAATAAACTTATTTAGTTTACACTACTGTGTTATTTGTTGTGTAGTGGAGACAAAATGGAGTCTTTGCTAGCGACTTCCGAGCACTATAGGACCATACATGGTTAAAAATAATGGATCCATTAAAAGTTAGGAAGTAGAAATAAACTGGAAGAGACATGCAGCAGCTATTGAATTAAAAAAAAATAAAATAAATTTTTAACGATTAGGAAGGCTGAGGTCAGTTGGTACTTCTCCTCTGCAAAATCGTGGGTAGGCACTGGTCCTAGGAAACTTCTTTCTTTCGGTTAAAACTGGATTTATACGTATATAACATAGATAAATGAAAATAATAATAACATAAATAGAGGCAAAATATTACATCGTGTTTCAAAACAATGGAAAAAAACCCCAAAATAGAAAAACTGCTCAAAATAAAAAACACAAAAAGAAAAAACAAAGAGAAAAATGAGTATAATGAAGCAAAATCATATAAAAGACAGCAAAACAAAATGCAGATTTCGCGGGAAGGAGTTACTCGGCCCCCTCTATACTTTGTTGTATGGGATACGGGCTATCAGTTCCTCCTTCATGGAGCAGTCGCTAGCTACGTAACTACTACGGTATTTAAACCGAGTGACGTACTTAAGTTTGGAGCCACTAATAAAAAAGTCAGCATCCGAACCAATACACATGGTTTCGTTTTTGCAGTGTTAATATTTAATCCCATCTTTTTTACAGTGTTGTTGTAAGCTGTTCATAGATTTTGTAGTCCGTCAGCTCTCTCACTGAAAATTGCCATCCATCTCGAAACTACATATTACAATAGTGTAAATTGTCGCTGTAGTGCGTTTTGAAAGACCGGGTTGGGGGGGAGGGAGAAGAAGTTTGTCTGACTGAGATTTCGGTGAAGAATAAAGGAAACCAATCATACAAAGAACTGACAAAAGCGATGCCAACAAGGAATACAAAATAAGCATATGTCGCAATGGCGGACGGCTTCGTTTTTCGGGGCTTGTAAAACAGGACGATTCGAATACCTCTCAAAGAAGTTATGAAGAGTGTGCATTTGGAAAATGTTATACAAATGGTATCGCGCATTTTTACCCCTGTGGATGCATTTATTATCTATACGTTTCTTTTACTTTATGTTCACTTTTCATAGAACTCCATTTTTTAGATTAATCAACAAAGACTTGTAATATTACCATCGAAAATACATTCATTTTGGCAGAAAAATTGGAATAATATTAATTGCCAAGAGAATATAATTGACAGACATAAACTTCGTCACTGCGCGCTGATCAGCGTGCAAAATTTTAACGAAAGTGCACGGAAGCATTATCAGTTATGATATGGGGTGTCGCAAAACATAAATCATCAATAGTTATTTGCTAAGGAATTTAACTGTATTTACATTTGCGCGGAAATATTGTTTCAATTTATGTATGCTTATAAGAAATGTCCTGTAATTTTCCTTTAATACTTGGACTGTATATTGAAAATAATGGAACCATAAAGGATTTAGGAATAATTAATGAACTGGGTGAGACGTGCTACAGCTATAAAGTTGGAAAAAACATAAATACCTGACAATCAGCAAAGCTGGGGTCAGTTTTAATTAAAAAATGTTTACCTTCCCTTTCCTAAATCCTGGCTACGCCTTTACCCTGAGAGATTTCAAAGACGTGCCGCTAAAATTGTTTAAAAAATGAGCGACAGTGACAAAGCTTTGGGTTATCCTACTTGACCAACTCTGGTAAATAGACGAGAAAGCCATGTTAATGAACTCGTCAAAAGATGCATTAAAGGACGTTGTCCACAATTTTTCTAAAAACCATTTTATTTTTAACAGTTCTGTCCACAATCGAATTACGAGGCAAATGAACATGTTACACTTGCCAAAAGTTAGAACTGAATTAGCTAAAAACTCTTTTTATTATAATGGTTCTGTAATTTTTAATAAGCTAAATTTTTAATGTTTTAAGATTTTATTCATTTATACTGTAACTTTATATAGCTCATATTTTAAGATTAACTTAATTTTTCCTTGGGTTTACCTGTGGGGGTAGTATTTTAGCATGATTTAATTTTTATCAGGGCCCCAATTGATAGCAGTGCTTGAGGCATCCGAATGGGCTACCCTAAATAAATAAAGGTCTTCTTCTTCTTCTATGTATTCTTCTAGGTAAAAATTAAGGATTTTTCAGCCATGGCAACCGTGTGAAATATTTCCCTATAGTTAAGTTGGATTGAAAATGAGAATTTTCGAATCCCCTTGTTACTCCTCAGCTTAGATTTGATTTTGATCATGGTGTGGTTTTTAATCCATTCTGCTTACGATTTTCCCCTCGCATCCGGGAGTTTTTGTCATTGAAACGATCTGCTCCTTAGTTTTTCAGACTTTTTTGAACTTGTGTCTCTAGTTTAACATGAATTGTTGGTGGGATAATGGGAAATAATGATCGTATTAGCTAATTCGCAGTCTAGGTAAATAAAAAAATTGTCGCAAAGAACTTTCATGGGAGAAAAAAAAACCAAACCTGGAAACAACGACATAAGCATGCTAAAAAGAATTCTTTGTCAGATTTATTTGTTAATCTCGCTTAAATCTTTTCAAGTAACTGACTTTCTTTATCACCTTTTGTCATGTGCTTAATTTTAAGAGCACGATGCTGTTTGCAAGGCAAATTAGGTGAAGTCTTTGTTATGCAAAATTGGACCTTTGTCGAGATGATTGATTTTTCCGCTGGTCCATTAATCGTAATATGTCTCCGTCCATATACTTTGGAATCACTATGATACTTCTTTGAAGTAAATATACATGCTCGCGAAGTTATTGACAAAAAGTCACAGAAATTGCGCTGAGGATTTGTCAGCTTTTGACTTTGTTCTCGGTGAGGGTCTGGACCCTAACAATATTTGAAGCAACCTTGGTATTCAAGGAACTCCTAAGTATACACTTTAGAAGGATGAAGAATTCGGTCCTCTGTTTGGAGTGAATTCGGATGGGAAACCTAGATAAGGACTGAAGATCCTACCAGTTGTATATTTTTGGAGTTAAGGTGAGTTTTTGTGCCTTTTTTCCATCGTATTTTGACCCCTCGTCCACAATCAACGCTTACACATGCGACAAGAAACAACGCGCTACAAAATTAACAACTTAATAAACAATTTCAAGCGAACAAGACCTTTCTTTTGTATTTTTCCTCGCAAGATACTTACCGTGCATGTAAAATCTCGTTTGAGATATTGCGCGGTATGAGAAAATCCTTCTGATAGTTGTGTAGAGAGAATCGGGGTCGCAGATATCACAAGTGCTTTGTTTGGTGGTCGAATGTATTTTTTTTTACACTGGTCACTACCTGTTAAGAAATGGATCTCTAGCGCTTTTCTAAGCTTTTCATCCGCTCTCCTTACTCCTATTAAGCAGAGGTGCTAAATACCGTTTAAATCATTAATCGTGGCCAGATTGTTCTTCCAGTTGCTAAATTACACTGATCACAAAACATGTCGTCAACCTTGGCCCATATCCGGATCGTATGTCTTACTGCGCCTTTGATAGGTTTTATATGTCTCTTGAAGGTCAACGGTTGATACGCTTATAAAATGGAGGGTAGTTAACTAATCCATGAAAGAATTGTCTTTGAAGGATTAATCTAATTTTTCGGCTTTCTAAGCGGAGTTTCATGCCGGACTTTGCTTAGGTAATCAAGAGGTTAAAGTTTTCAGCGAATAGTGTTGCCAATATTAATACTTCGGTTGATCGCTCACCACTGTATTGTGTTACGATCAATCTAATGACAACAATTTGTTAGAGTTTATGTCAGGGAAATGCCTGAGGCGATGTCATCTGTTCAAAAGTTAAGGATTTGTGTAATGCCTATTAGGCGTATTGACAGGAAGTTTAAGATTGTGTTCTACCACATTTTCAAAACCCTTAAACTTTATGATTTCTGGTTTTTACAACAAGCTACCAAAGAATCCTAAATGGCAGGCTAGTATTTTGGAATGCAGAATGTGCAACTGTTTTTCACTTGCAACATCAGTACATTCAGCCAAAGAGACAACTTCCTCTGGCATTACGTAGCCTCTTAAAAGCCACTGAAGATGAAAACAACAAAATTTACTATAAAATGGATTACAATTCCAAACCCTCAACTAGGGCCAGCAGGTTCCTTGGCCCAACATGCTTCATAGAGTGTACATTAGGAGAGATTGAACACGAGGCTGCTTTTTTCATGGGCAATAAAATTATCAGAAAGCCTCAAGTTTTAAATTTTGTTGGCACAGCTGGATAAGCCTTGGAACAATGTTCATTGATGAACTTTTTATGTTCTAAGTTACTATGATTTTCAGTTGAGTGACATGTGATAGAAGTTTAGAAAGCATGTTGTGATGTTAAATCATGTTTTTGTTATGGGCAACTGGCTCTGTTTCCAGCAGCAGTGTGTCATGTACCTTCTTTTGGTGGGCTCTTATGTTTGAGGTTGGCAACACACAGCTCTTGAGATTCATTTTCCTTTGGAAACAAGGAAGGTTGCCTTTGACATTAATTTTATTGTCAAATCCTTTAACCAAACATTTCTGTGCCTCACTTGATTGTAGTATCTGTCCATTGTACCTCCTTTCTTGCTCATAATCACATGAAGCACAAAAAAAATTACATGATATTTTCAGAGACATCTGATTCCTGAAGCAGCTAGAAACTGCTTGATAATTTGGAGAGTGATAAAATTATACTTATCCAAACCAAAAATTTTGTTTTCAGTTCATTAATTAGTGTATAATGTTCAAGAGGACAAACTCAGAGCCTTCACCTGGGTCCCAGAAGGGTCCTCAGACTGACTCCACCCCCAAAGGAAGGTACAAGAGTGTACTACTGACTCCTTCACAGAGTTTGCCATCATCACCCTCAGCTCTCACACCAGGGTTCCTACGTTCATTTGGTTTTGCTAACACCAGATCATCATCACAACCAGGTAAGTTTGGATCAACAAATATTTTTAATCAAATTAGTCAGCATTGAATTATTTTTAATTATTGAATTTTTTTAATTTTATTTGTCAATGTGATATTATTAATCATAGATTGGATTTGAGTAGATCATCAGATTGATTAGTAAGTAGTATTTTCGAGCCAGATTCTGGACATGAAGTGGTCAATTATGACATTAAGTGGTGGTGTTTATTGTTTTTTGTAATACCCCTGTTATATGGAGCCTGTATCAAGCTGTCAACCTTAAATGAGCAGTCACCCTGCCATTCCCCATGGATGACCCCTTTATACCAGTTTGATTGTATTAAACTAAAGTGTTATTTGATTAAAAAATTGATTGATTGTATGGCAGTTTATTTGATCTTGTAATTCATTGTTTTGTTATGTTTTTACATTAATTGCTTGCATTATAATCCTTTGTCACCCTCTTACTTACTGAGGAGAATTTTATTTTGTGTTACAAACAGAAACTCCCAAGTCTCACATGGAAACCACCCCACAGACTCCAAGCACAATTGATGATGTTGATACTCAGTGAGTAAAACATATTAACAATAATAAATATTAATTACAATTAGAAATCCCCATATTTCCAGACAATGATATAAATGACCTATAGTTGGTTGTGTTTCATGTAGGTTGTGAGGTTTAATGCCTTTATTAAATATTAAAATTATCTTCAAGTGAGTTTGTTACATACACTCATATGAATATGGTAAATGTGTTGCTACAACCTTTAAGCAGGTTACCATAGCAATAATAAAAATGACCAATTAGCTTACTTTAATATTAAAAAAAAAGAAGATATTGAACAGTTTGAAATAATTTCCAGATCTTTTTGTTTTGTAATTTCCAATCATAAGGGCAGACTAAGATTTACAGGCAAACTATACCATTAAAAACTTGGGGATTAAGCAATCCTTGACATTTGCAGTTTTTCTTAGTTGACAGTGAATTTGTAGCTCTAAGCTACCTTAATGTGTGTATTTAGAGTAATAATGATGGTACAATTTTTAGCTTGGTAATGAAGTAGAAAAATGTTTTTTTCAAAATTTTGTATTCTATTTATACATATGACATTTTCAACACTGCTGACTCTAGCAATGTGCAGTGTGCATGTCACCTAGGAAACCTTAGTAGTAGTGGCCTTACTCATGAGGGGTCTCTGAGGCTCTGTGGTAGAGCATGGGGGGTATGAGGCTTGATTCCTCTTTGGGACTCAGAATTTTTTTTCTTTATCCCTTGCTTATGACAAGATGAAAAAAGAAATCTTTCTCTAACGTAAATGTTATTTACCATTTTAGTTTTATTCATTTATAATAGAGACATTTAACCTACTGATTTCTTCTCCACAGCAGCAAATCAGACTCCAGCACATCCCTGTCATCCTTAAATAGTGTTAAAGCTGGGTTGAGCAGTTCACTGCCAATGCAAAAGGGAAGTGTCAATGAAGAAAAACATACTGATCTCTCAGAGTCACAACTTAATTTCCTATCGCACAATTTGTCAGAGATTGCTGATAAAATATCACCTTCAAAGTATGATGAAATGAATGAAATAGAAGTAGAATCTTTGGAAATACTGAAAGAAGAGACTTTAAGGCAATCATCCCAAGCAGAATTTCCAAGCAATGAACAAACAAGATATAAAACTCCATATTCAAGACGTAGCAGGGATAATAAATCCTACGTTTCTAAACAAAAGAGTTTTACCCGAAAAAGAACTCAGGGCTATCATAACTCCCATCAAGAAGTGAATAACAATGGAGAAGTATCTTTGGATGCTTCCAATGTTCTCACCCTTGGAAATGCTGCAGAAACATTTAAACATGATAGTGAGAGTGACTCAGGCTATAGCTCATCTATGTCGACTTCAATTAGTTTGAGTGATGAAAGTGAAGCTTCCAAAAGACTTAGCTCGGGAAATGGATCTGCCACAGACATTGATGGTGATGAGTTTGCAGTAACTGAAGATGCAGATCTTACAAGGAAAAATTCACTGGATAAAGAAATGAGAAATAAGAGGCCTGCACCCCTTTTGGAACACAGGGACTCTAGTGATCTCCAAGAAAGGCTGGATTCTTTAATTCAGGGTGTGTCAACTGGAATGGATGATTTAACTTTAGAAGGAGGACAGTTAACAAAAAGTGATGTTCACTCACATGGGGATAGGTCAAATATCTTGGAGGAACCATCACCAAACTTTATAATAAATTTTACCAAAACTCAAGAAGATGATCAGTCTAAGACAGAATCAAAAGAACATTCGAACACTGTTGTAAAACCACCCTTTCCTTTACTCAAGGGCAAGGTGTCTTCAGATGACTCAGCATTACCAAGAAGTAAAGCCGGTAAAAGACCAGGTTTAGTACGACGCAGGACAACCTTAGTTTCTTTTCGTCCACCAAAACAAATGGCTGCTCAAGAAGGAGAAGGTGACATTGTTGAAATGGATGAAGTGGGTTTCATGCAGTTGTTGACTGATATTAAATCTCTTAAAACTCAGTTGCTTAAACTGAAGCGTGAACTTCAAGAGGTAAGTATTGTTTTGTAAAATACGATGAACGGTGATGGTGTTGAGTGTGACAGTCTTATTGGTAACCATATGAGATATATGATGTATTGACATATCCAATTCTGTTAGTTAGGTGATATGCAATGTCAGGAGGATTGCTTTTGTCCCTAATTGCTGTTTGTTAACCAGTTAGTTAATTACATGATGCAGAGCAGATTTTGAAATTTGGAACTACTGAAAAACAAATTCACCTGAGAGACAGAGAAGGTGGCTTGAAGCCTGGAACTTCCAGTTATCAAGTGCAGTTATCTAAAGTACTTGACCACACCTCCTTCATGCTGTGGGTAACATGACATATATTGTTCTTGAAGGCTGATGTCGTTTCTCCACTGATGCATTCGCACTCCTGTATGGCGAGAAGAGCATCTGTATCTGTTGATTCTGATCCAGCAATGGAGAGAGCAACTGCGTCACATAGAAAGGTATTCATCACAGCTTGAGGTTTGAGTGAAGTGTCCAGGGAAAAATGGACGCCGTTTGTACTTATATTGCAGGGGGAAATTCCACTGTGGTCGTTACTGGGCATGGAAGGGTTAAGAAAGCCAAAAGCGCCACGAACTTGTGAGCTTGCTTTCTTGTTTTGATGCCATGTAGCTCAATAAGAGAATTTACACTGAGATTGCAAAGTCACATATTGAGGTCATACTGTTTTAGCACAATTCAAATTCGCATAGTCGACGATGAGAAGTTGTTTTATCAATTTTCATCACCGCGGTTCAAATAATACGACGAAAAGTATGGGAGATGCGGTATCAATAATTTTGCAGGTTAAAAATAACTATCTCTTTCATATACACAGAGGATGTTGAACAGAACTATGACTATGGATCCTTCAGCCATGCAAGAGAGGATACAGACCACCAGAGCACGAGTTTCCTCTATGTCTTCTATGGATGAAAGAGGAGATAGTCCGGACGATGTCACAGAGATTTCACACTTACCAGTACCTAGTAATTCAGAGCAGACTAAGTTAGAGACAGCACCCCCTGTTAACAAGCCAGAGGCTGCGTCAACAGGGGCTAGTGTTGAGGAAGTGAAGAAACTTCACGACGAACTAGGCGAAGTGAAAAACAAACTTCTCGACCTCACTCAGGTTAGAAGAAATTATGTCAAGAAGTTGTTCATATTTTATTACTGTGAACATCCAAGTATGATTGATACTATTGGAAATGGTTGATCGGCTCAATTTAACCCTAACACAATCTATTCAACGATGTTGAATAGATTGTTAATAGGTTAGCATCGCTCGACTCTATTACCCAGTTAGCAAATTACATTGATTTTTGAACTTAGAGTCCTTTCCTGCTCAGCCTAATACAATATACAATCAGACCTGATATACAACTGTCTGTCTTTTCTCTTCTCACAGTGTAGTTAATGAAGTCTCCAGCGTATCATTTTTTGTAGCATACGGTAGTTTCCTTGTTTCCTTTTGCAAAATTTGTCAATTCTGACAAGATGGTCGAGGGGAGACTACTGTACTTTAAAGCGAAGTTGAAAGACCTCAGCAAACGTATCCTTTTTTGCAGGAGAAAACTTCACTTGTGATTGAAAGAGAAGAACTCGAACATGAACTCGACAGCAAGAATCACACGATCAGAATGCTTCAAAAACAACTGGTAAGAACACAAAAAAAAACTGTTAAAGCTACTGTTCCTCTACTGATTGCTACTCAGCCTCTGGATAGACTTTATTTATGGAAGTGACCTGTTACTAGGTTCACGTGATAAACTTTTTAAAGAAAATTTAAGGAGAAATTACCCAGCTTTTACGTTTTGAGAAATTGTGTGAATTTTTACAAGTTTCAGTATTGTTCGCCAACCTTTTCAAGCTTTTTTATTGTGGTTTACTCTTTCCCTACTGGTGTTAATGTGCCCCGTAGATTTTTTTCGGTTTTCTTCCAACAAGCGACAGTTTTGGACGACTTAAAAAACAAAACGATAGGCCTTTGCATATATTATTTTATCATTTGTCTCATCAGGAAGCCCAAGACAATCGGGACGAGATAGCGTACTTCAAGAGACAAGTCAAGTCACTCACAGATCAGATACAACAACAGCAACAGAAGATCACAGAACTTAGATATCGGTCGACCAGCCCCGGTCCTGTCCCCTTGGGATCGGTAAGTGTTTTCTTTTAATCCATTCACCCTGCTGTCATTGTAGAAAGGGGAAGGGAGAAGGGGGTAACAGAGGTGAAGACCAGATTTCTAAGATAGGGTAGGGCCCCAACACTAGCATATCAGATTGCTTTGTTATTTTGCGTTTCTTTACCTTCTTTCAAACTCAAGCCAGACAATTATAGTAAAAATAATGGATAGAGAATCCCTAGTTTCTTTTTCCTTTTGCCAATATGATATAAGCAAATGATAAGTGAACGTTATACTAATGTATCATCGCTTAACAGGTTCCAAACCTTCAAAACAAAAAGGAAGCAATAAAATCGGACATCAGGTTAGTTAAAATGAGCGCAGGTTTACAATATTTTTTACTTACCTCGTTAGACCGTTCAGTAGTCTGGGTTAAAAGAGTCGTTTCATTGTTTTTGCTGCTTCATCAGTGGGTCATCATGACGAAAGTAATTTTCGGTTTTCACGGGCCAGGTGACTGTTTTGCTCTACCTTTGGTCTACTAGGCTCAAGTACAAGCTGCTGTTCAGGAAATGAGCCCGCGCTCATCTCCCCGAAACTAACTTCTCTGAAGGATCGAAGACCGGTCCCGAGAAAACGGCGAATGTTGCGTGACTCTTCGTTTGCGTCTCGTGATCTTTCTGGAGAGTTCTTAATGGTGTTCTTGATAATCAAAGCGATTTCAAATCGTTTCAATTAGGTTCCTGGCATTATGAAATGGTTTGTAATTTTTATGGGGTTCCTGGTATGTGAAATGGTTTCTGTTGGTTTTAAGGGGTTCCTGGTAATATGAAATGGTTTCTGAAATTACTAATTTTAACTGCAGTCTGACCAAAGTCCTTTGTAGACTGTTGTAAAGCGCCATGAGCAAACATGGATATGGCGCTATAGAAATACATCATTCATTCATTCATATGAAAGGGTTAAAAAGGTTTACATTGATTTATAGGGAATTCGTTTCACGTACTGAAGGGTTCTCAATGGTCTGATATATTTTTATTTATATATTTATTAGAAACCGTCTAAGGGATGCTTTTGTGAGACATTTGGGAGAATCGTCAAAGGTTGGTAACTTGAATTAAATTGGCTATTTTGAGATCAATTGTTTTGATTATTTTTCCGTCTAACGTGTCGTATGGTTACGGTTTCATGTAACCGAACTGAACTGAGATGTCTTTGGTAGATAGTGAATTGATGGTAGGGGAAAATCGTTCTTGCAAAAATTGATTTTGCATACTGTGATTTTAATGATCGTTTTAATACTAATAATAAGGGTAATGATAATCAGTCAGGCTTGGTATAAGGCTGACTTGTTCCTAGTCGTCTTATCATCAAGGGCGGCTTGGGATTGTAAGGTGTGATGAGTGAAAAGTGCGAGAGCGAAACCACTTCGCTACTGCCCTTTATAAATTCGTTCGCCATCTTGAAATCAGGATTTCTCAGAAGTTTAAGCTCCTCTCCCCCGCCGTTTTCCTACACCGCGCACTTTGTGGAGACGACTGGAAACGAGTTGGGAGGAGTGACACTTTTCAACACTATACTGCAGTAGTTGTCATGACTATTCACCATCATCAGTCGTACCATCCCACATTCGTCATTGATCATGTTGTATTGTTGTATTGCGTCCTGTTTTCAGAGTCATGTTCAGCTGAGCAAACACATCCAGAAAGCGGAGCAGAACATCAGCATGGCACAGAAAGGTCTTATCTCCTTATATACACCACCTGTCCTATCACCTCACGTCAGCACAGAGCATCTGCCGAAAGGTGGTCTTCACTGCACTTTACATCAGTCAATGTACACTTCTCACTTACACGAGTAGCTGTGTTTCACTTGAGGATCATGCAATCTTTTCCATCAATTTTTTTTTTTACTTTCATGCGGTGAAGCACTTCATAAGAGTTGTATCACCTATCACAACGGTGACGAAAACGCCCCCTGTACATTGTCATAATTGCCACAGAAGATCATTTTCAGGAGATCACATCTTTGCCTCGCCTGTCATTTCAAAAAGAGTTTGAAGTTGCCTTCATTAAGCTCTTTGGTGTCATACATCCACGCACTTTGTTCATAGCCCTGTGGCAAAAGGCGGTCTTACTACTTTGATTTTAAGCTTGTGTATGTTGATTGATATTTTATGACGTTCAAACTATGATGGCGTTCATTACACAAGCACAAATACGCTTGCGAGACAGTCTTTGTAAATGGCGTCACGCAAAGGTTGTGTCTCAGAGGTTTCTTCTTTTGCGTTAGAGCGCATATTAGGTGCGTATTCATTGTTCGTTTCTCTTTCAGACAAATCGAGACCTTCGTTCGAAAGATCCGACTCACAGTCAAGTGTCGAAAGAGGTCATGAGGACTCGGATGGAAGAGAATACGAATCGGACTCGTCAAAGTCAAGCAGCCGACGAGGAATGACATCTTCGGGAAACGTAAGAAACAACGAAGACTCGGGTTCGGAGGCTGGAAGATTTGGGAGGAGACGCAAAGCATGTCCAAGTCAGGACGAATCCGATGGAAGGGCGTCCGATTCAGATTCGGGAAAGACGAACAGACGACGAATTGCATCGCCACCATTGGAATCAACCTCCGATAAATTGAACAAGACAATTTTAGAATCGAATTCATCCACGCCAGGGATACAGATTGAGGTAACAGACGCTGGTAAAACCAGTAGACAATCCTCTTCGGCTTCACCTCGAACAAGAAAATTATCTCGATCAAAATTATTTAGCAAGATAGAATCCTCACCTCTGTCACACTCATGGACGCCCGGCGCTATCGAGAAGATTGTAAAATCATGGAGAGAAGCAAAATCTCCTGAGGTTCAGGAGAAAACGAAAGAGGAAGACGACTCCCTTAAACCTGAGACCCATGTTCAGTTTTTATGAAAATTACTTGTTAACCCTTTCACTCCCAAGATCTCATCGGTAATTCTCCTTTATGTCTGCCGTACCATTCTTATGATGTTAGTTTGGAGAATTTGGTGGTGGATCGGCAAATAATCCTTAAATTGATACTCTTCCTAATTCTCATCACCTGTCAGCTTGATATTTCGTTGATACTGTAAGGAGAAAGTCTGTCTTGGTCAATCATGGGAGTTAAAGGGTTAAGAAGGAATATACTTTTTTTAAATAAAAGGTACATGTTTCTTGCCCAGGCAAATTGTGCTGAATTTTTCGCGAACCTTTTCGGGCTGAGAATATATTTTTTACATTTTTAGTTTTATCACTTTTTTTAGCCCACTTTTGAGATTTCGATTTCATTTTGTTTTGCTTTTCCATCAACACGTAAAAATTCATTCATGAGTGTGTTCACAGCTCTGGTTATACTAAGTTCTTCTGTATAACTTCACCAATTTCTGCTTCGATTAACTAGAAAAGTATGTATGAAAAGATAGGGGTGCAAGTGCACCTTGACTGCCACCGTTCACCCTACGACCAGACTGATCTGGTTATTGAAGTGTACTCGAGTTCATCGATATTTCAGCTTCAGTCAATATTTTCCCTATTTTCATGTTACAATTTTTACTCACAATCTTTTTATGCGCTTTTAGTCGATCATGCTGCTTTCCTGCCGCGATAAATTTCTTTCCTTTTATGTATTATCATTATTTTTTAATGTATCCCTTGTTTCTTAATCAAGTGTGTTTCGGAAAGAGGTGATATTTTTCTCGTTAAGCTCGACTGTCGGCATAAGGTTGTCGTAGGTATATGTGTGTTGTTTAAACGATACCATTTGTAATGTATTCTGTCACTTTAATGATGATATATGCTGACAACATGCCATGATCGTGAACAAAAACTTTTCCGTGAGAATTAGTTGTAACGTCAAACTGGTTTTACTGGGAATACAATGATTTGTATTGAACTGTCATATGGATCAAAGTCAAATTTGAAGATATTTTAAGAGCAACAGAAAACATTCGAATGCGTTAACTTGATTTAAGTCAGTTATCATGAAATTAAAAGAAAAGGGCCCGCACTATGGATGAAGTCACCATAAGTGGGAGGTACAAGTTGTTATATGATCATCTTCTAGATGAGGTCTTACCATTTATAGCATAGTTTATTATTTGGCAGATTTTTATCAAATGCGTTCGTTAAGGATCGCTTAAGTATAGAGTAATTTATATTTTTATTCTTGCTATTCGGTTAGAATAGATTAGAAAAATGAAGAAATTGAACTGTCTGCAATTGTTGACGTTTAACTTAAATCCAGTGTAAGCTTTTCCCAGTTTTCTTTTTTCCACGCTCGTTTATCAGATTCATGATTGTTTTCAATCCTCATTTGACGATTAGATCAGTGAGAATGGCGATGATTTTTAAAGTTAAGTCAACGAAGGGTTTTGTGGTGCGAAACAAAACGGTACCATTTCCACTTTTAGTGTGAGGGGTCGGGAGGGGGCACTCCAGGAACTTTCCAGATGGTTTGTCGCACTAAATTGTTCTAAACAAGATATCGTTATGGATTGTAGTGCATCGACGTCGTACAGCCTCTCCGAAAACCTCACACTTCTTGGCAGCACATACTCGTGTTGGGTACATGAGGAAGTGGCACTTCCCTTTAGGGTGGGGACGAGGGGGGTTGAGCACTGATGAGATGGAAGAATGTCGTACACTGTCCTTATCAAATTCCACAAGTCAAGAGGACGACAAGTACGCAAAGAAGATTCTAACTTGTGAGTATGGGTTATGCTTCCTTGACTCATAAGACTATTGGTGTAAATGTCCTAAGAAACTACTGGCTGAATGGCGTGTTTGTACGCCGTCAGTTAATTACCTCCCCCAGCACATACCTCGTAGCATCTCGTTTCCTCGTCTGACCTTTGATGCCAACTGGTGGGAAGAGAAGGAGAGATAGAGAGAGTAAAGTGTCTCCTTGAGCTATACCACAGTGAGCCTGGTTCCGCGTAGTAACTCGATCTGAAGCTTGCAATAAGGCCACCGGTCCTTACAGCGCTCTGTGCTTTTTCTCCCAAAGAAGGAAAGAAAAGACTGCGAAAACAAAGCAAAGGTCGGCGAAAATGGTCAAGTATAAGACACTTCAACAGAGTCGGGAATGTTAGAAGAGATTTTTAGATCAAATACGATCCTGTCCGAGCAGCGAAGCTCAAAAGCCGCATAGAACGATTCCCTACGGTTTTTATACCTTTTCTTCGTCATTGTCAATTTTAATGATCATAGGAGATATAACAGAATTTTGAAGTATTTTTGTTAGCCTATGAATGGGTTAGGAATGATAACATCCCGCCTAAGATTCGATTTACAGATCTGGCGTTGGGTTTAATTTTATCCTTTTTCTTTTCTTTTTTCATATTGCTATCAAAAACTCTTTTTTGATTATGAAACGGGAAAAATATTGAAAACATCTACGTAAGAATGTAAATGTTTCCCGATTTATTTACCGTTTTTGCAGCTTATTAGTACAAAGATGCGTAGGCGAATACTAAACTGCTTTCAATTAATTGCCGTCTTTCTTCAACGGCAGACTATTGTGTCATTTGAAAGGTTTCTGTTATTTAAGTAAATTTTGGTTAAGTCCTACGTAAATGGGCTTAAGAACCAATTAAATACGCCACCTAATTTGATGTTGTGATTGGTGAAGTCATTTCGCGTTTGTTACTCATTGTTTACACGCAATAAGTTTTGCGCGAGTTTCCATGACAACTGCTCTTCATCCGGGTACCCTGGGAACATATCAGTAGTGCGGTGGAGCCGACACGCTCCGAAATGTTTCGTCCGAGGTAAAATACCTCCACCGTTTCCAAAATAACTGTTGGATCTGGTCTGTGATCGTCAAAGGAGTATGTTAAATTGATTTTTATGGCCGTGGATGACAGCATTATTTAATTATGGCTACAAGAAGTAACTTGCAGTCGACAGACTCGAAGACGTGTTTTAAGGTGTCCTTGGTCGCGAAGGATTTTAATTGCTAACTTGCGGTGTGAAAGCTTCGTTGGAAAGGTCCATAGATGGACCTGTTTATTGAGACGTTAACTGGAACAGCCTTTGAGTTACGAGTCAGCCCTTTTGAAACCATCATGAGCGTAAAAGCTAAGATTCAACGTCTTGAAGGTGAGTGAAAACGCAAGTATTATTCTGAGCTTATGAATAATTGTGTGGGAACAACGGCGAACCATCGAGAACAAAACTAGTCTTGTTTATCACGAAGAAATAAAAAGATCGGTAGGTTTAAAGTTCATTCTTTTCCTTTCAACGTGTGAAACCCGTCTATCCGATGAACGCGTTTTCGAAGGTTTGCCCTCACATCAGAGACATAAATAATTTAAAATGTGTGGTGTTGCACCATTTGTAAACACTGGCCGAATGGATGGACTAGTGTACGCTTGATTTTGAAATGGAAATCTTTCCAAAAGGTCAGCGATAAACGAAGGATCACGAAGCAACGTGAGTTATTGATAATATTGGACCCGTTTTATATAGAATGTTTGTTCATAACCTTGTCTGAGAAATTAGCTCTTCGATGGGGTTTTGATTTTATATAACTTAAATTCTTGATTTTTTTCCCCTTGGCATCACTTTCCTAAGTTTGAAATAATTCTTATTAGGAAGGACTTAAACATTTTGTCACGGTCTGAAGATTTCCTCTTTAAACATCTGTGAGCAAGGTTTAACACCTTCAAAGAATACACTCGAATATTTTCACGTTTTTAGGCTTTCGTTAAAATGTGATGTTATCGTTTATGTAATTATTGTACGGATCCGATGTGGTATGTAGAGATCTGCTAGTTTTTTGGATATGTATTTCAAAATTATGCCACTGTTTTGTTTGTTTTTCACATCGCCTATTTAAGATCCTACATACATCGAAGCTTTTTCATTCAATATTATGTCGTGAAAGATTGTCACGCACACGTTCATGTATGTCTACTTGGACTCAGTGTCGCGAATGTTCTGACCAGATATTTGCTCGTTGATAAGGTTTATCTGATCACTGATGTTTTGGATGCCAATAGTCATCAATAGTTGTTTAACAATGTCTTCTGTAGTGTCATGTAACTGAGAACGTGCATATTACTGTTTTTGTTTTAAAACTATGACACTTCACAGCTAGATGAAACTGAAATTTTCAGCCGGATGCAGTTCTGTCATATGTTTATCTTAAGATTAGATTTCCTTTGTGGTCAGTTGCTAAATCAAGCTGTTACAACACCTAACTTGTTAATGGAGTTATCCACTGTACATGTGAAAGCATTGACATGCTTGCAGCTGTCTAATTTTACTTGGCTGAACCTTAAACTTACAAATGATTTGTCTCTAAAGGTGAAAATGAAGGCTTTGAAAGCTGAGAGCTAAATTTACCTTTGCCAACAATGTTTTCATCATCAAATAGACTCTGTTTGTAAACATTCTTTTCTGTGTTTTTGGCTTTTTCATGGTTCCTGACAAAAGTTTCCATTATCGGATATGAAATTGTAAATTTTAAATATTGTGTCCTGTCCTTGGTTTTTCCCAAAATTGTTCAACTATCATGAATTATGTCTGAAGGTTTACAGTCAAGTTGCCTGAGAGTCATCTTGCCTGAAGTCATGTTGCCGAAATCTGAGTTATGTTGCCTGAAAAAAAAAGTCAAGTAGCCTGAAGAAACAAATACTAAAAAGATCTGAATTTCAGATTGTAAATAGGCAATAAAGTTGAGAAATTTTTATCTCTAAAGCGCTCTTTGTATCCAACAACACCATGAAGATTCTTAAAGTGTTCTTCGTTTCTAACAACAAAGGGAAGTGTTCTCCGTTTCTAACAAAAAATGAAGCATTGTTTGTTTGGTATGTACTTGTCTCTTACTCACAGATATTTTGTAAGCTTGAGAAACTTTTTCTTGGTTTCCAACAAAGCCTCTCTTGCAACTTTGCTTATATTCTGACGGAAATTAGAGCACTTACGTCATTGGTGCAAACAAGCCCTTAATGAATGTGAAAACTAACATGATGTACTGAATTATTTCAATTAATAAACATACCATACGTATCAGTTCTTTGTAAAAATCTAATATGTGAATGTTTTATTAAAACTGCAGGCATTCCAATGTCTCAGCAGCATTTGATATGGAGATCAGCTGAGTTAGAAGATGATTATTGCCTCCATGATTATAAGTAAGTATGTGTAAATGTGTAAGCTTTAAAGTTGATAATAGTTGAATGATTTTGTGTAGTAATCATGTTCTTGTAAAAAATATGTCAGGTTGATTTGGATGTCAAATCCTTTAACTCCATCATATCCCCTGAAGGTGATTCCTCAGCATTGCACTGCGCATCCTGTAGTGCATATAAAATCACAAGGCAAATAAGCACTGACATATTCCAAGAACATGGTATTGTTTTACAGTAAATAGACCCAGTAAAGAGGTGTGATTGTCTTTTGCTCTTGAATGAGAATAGTGACCAATATTTTTACTGCATACTTTTAGTGTACAAATCATCCCCTTTCAATTTGAAAAAATTTCAAAACAACTCATGGAAGGGAAAAAAGATAAAGCTAAAGCATGCACAAAACACCTGATTCAAAACGATACAAACCATGACCTTGAGGGCAAACATTTGAGGAACATTTTGAGTTGATGTTGTTTAAAACTGCGTGATTTTTCACAAATAATGTATCAAATTGTTCTTAACACAAGACTTTCTATCTATCAAGTTTTTTTCAAGTATTTCTTAAAAAACCCTTGCTTCCAGCTATGTCATAATGTACTGATGACATGACTTGCATGATTAATGCCAGTATGGGCATAAATGGGGGGAGTTTGGCCCATCATATCTCTTAAACAAGCATGGCAACATATCTTTATAGTTGTTTTTTTTTTTTAAACAGACATTGTTACAGAACAATTAAGGAAAGTTTTAAAAAAATTGTCCAGTTACTTTTTTTTTTTTCTGAGGAATCACCTTAAACCAACTTGAGACAAGATGCCAGGTGTTAACCTGGGATTTTATCTAGAGTCAGTCTGGTTTTATGTTTAAAACAATAAGTTTTACATTGACTCTTCAAAGTACAGGAATGAAATCGAAAAATAGAGACAAGAAAAAAATGTGAACATCACAGGATATTATGTATGGTCACCCATCACCCATCACCCATGGGCTTTACTTCAGTAAGAAGCACAAGCATGTTGCTAATTTCCATATCTGACTATGACGGCACTAAAGTGAATTTTTAACATTGTCTGTCACAGGCATCTCACATGATTAAATTTCTTTTAGTGATGCAGAGAAATTGTTTTGGAGGTCAGTCACCAACAAAATGTTGGTACTCATTTAGAAAAATGCAGGAAATTAGACAAATACTTATTTAATCTTAATTTGTTGCCCAAAAAGGTAGTTTTCATATGAAATTTTGAAGAATGATGACACATCACCAAGGCCAGATTGAGGGTTTTTTGTATACTTAAGCAGTTACTCTCTCTTCACAGCATAATATCTGATCAGCAATACACTTAAAATTTGCTAAAATCTCTTTAATTGAACTCAACCTCAAGCACTCTTCATTCTTAAATAAGTTTGGCTTATTTTTCATTTCTCCTCATCAATTTAGTATTACAGATGGAGCAACATTACAACTGGTGCTAGCCATGAGAGGAGGCCCTATTAATACAAGAAGAAGTGAGTTAATCTGAATCTAAAACTACATCCTGTAGACTTTTTTAATGCAATAGTGGGAATGTCATTTCATAGGTGCACTAATGCTCAAACCTCAGGGCTCCTTTTCAATTATTGCTATCTTTTAGTTTGGGCAAATATAACTATAGCTTTTTCTAACAAAAATTCTCTACCATTAATGAGAGAGAATAATGAGTGAGACCATCAATTTGTGTTTTCTACCACTTTTGAGGTAATTAGTCTGGGGTTAATTAAATACAGCTTTATATTAAGTTATGAACATCTTCAATTTGCTCTCTTGAAGTTCCTGTTGAAGATCCTACTATACGAGAAATGGCTGAGTACATGGAAGTCAACAGGTGAAATTTTGTCATTCTTAAGACTTAGGTTTGCTTGATATTCATAATCAAGTTTATTTAAACAGATGCCTGTGGTCATGGTAATATCATGGAACTATCATGAATCTACACTTTCCATAAACATTGAAAAGAAATTATCAATTATTTGTTTATTCCTCTCACAAGTGACACTATTATTAACATTTAGATTTGTTCCTTTTTGCAGGGAAGAAATATGGGATAAACTACCCAAAGATAACCGCCAAGTGACGTTACTTGTTTTTAGGTAACTCTCTAAACTTCTTAGACTATGATGAACCTAATTGTGGTTCTTGTAAATTAGCCTGCCAATCTTCATAAACACAAGGCAAAATAATAGAATTTCACCCAACACTAAGGGTCAGTTGACAGACAAATGCATGCACATAAAATATTCTTCTCCCTCTTAGTCAAGGAAGTCTTCACTTTCTTTCTGATCATATTATTTTATTGATATTGTTGTTGTCATGATTATTATTAATATCATTATTATTTATCATCATTAGCATTGTTTAGTTTGTCTGCTTCATTATTTAGTGTGGCCAGGGGGGTGTCTTTTGACATCATACATATATTTAATGGATGACAACTTTTTGGAATGTGTTGTGCTTCAATCTGCAGTCTAATATTTCCAGGAATTTCACTGATTTTTTCTTCAATGCCTTGTATAACTCCAAGAGCACCCACTACAATCAGAAAAGCCATTTTTCTTACATGTGAATCTCTCACATTCATGAGATTTCTATTTCCATATCTTTTTACTTTTCAAGGTTTCCTATAGCTATTTAAAATATTCTCAATAGAAGAGTAACTTTTGGTGGATCACCATCTATGCCCCTGTGAAAATACAAGAATAGTACTTAGTCCTACCTTAAGAACAATATTGCCTTACACTGCTATTATCATGATCTTCATTCACTGATTTTAGTTCCATTTTGATGTTGACATTACAATATTTTTTAGGGATGGAGATCAGTTGAACTTTTTGGAATGTGTTGTGCTTCAATCTGCAGTCTAATATTTCCAGGAATTTCACTGATTTTTTCTTCAATGCCTTGTATAACTCCAAGAGCACCCACTACAATCAGAAAAGCCATTTTTCTTACATGTGAATCTCTCACATTCATGAGATTTCTATTTCCATATCTTTTTACTTTTCAAGGTTTCCTATAGCTATTTAAAATATTCTCAATAGAAGAGTAACTTTTGGTGGATCACCATCTATGCCCCTGTGAAAATACAAGAATAGTACTTAGTCCTACCTTAAGAACAATATTGCCTTACACTGCTATTATCATGATCTTCATTCACTGATTTTAGTTCCATTTTGATGTTGACATTACAATATTTTTTAGGGATGGAGATCAGTTGAATTTTTTTCGAGTGGTGGACAGAGGTGATGGAACACTGACTCCTCTTTCAGACTCGTTAAGGTATTTGCACATTTGTATCTATATTTGTATCTTAACTGGTATCAGTAAGGAATGGTAATTTTCTTACAACAGACATTGGCAATTTTCCAGTGCCCTGTTAATAATATGCATAACAGATTTGACATCCACATAAGATTACTATTAACCTTTGGGGATGCAGTTTGTAAAGTTGTTTTTGTACAGATTGTGTTCAAAGAAATCCTCAAAAACTCATTATCACAGGAAAGTTTCTTTGATAAAGAAGGAAAAATAGCTAATATTAGCATTAAAACAAGTTTGACATATATGCTAAACCCTCCTTCATACAATCATCTGTAAATGTGAACAACTTTAGGCCATTATTTATGTGATGACTTTTTGTTGTAATAAGTTGAGATTTTTTGGTTGCTTTCTCTACTTGACCTGTGCTCACATATGCTGTAAGGATAATATTTTACTGTTAACTGTGATTTCTAAGTTTGATTTGAATTTTCAAATATTGATTTACAGTGCTTTATTTATATTAAGCTATCATGGTTCTTTTCATTAAAAAATGTAGTGGTGCTTCAATGTATAATTTGTATGATGAAGAGGAAGAGGATAATCCACCACCAATATCACAGGTTTGTTTCATCAAAACTCATTGTTTTATGAATTTCAATGTACAGTAACTGTTGAGTTTACGACATCTCAAATTCCCCTCAATTTTTGCTTTGCTTGTTACAATACACGTACACTTAATTAATGATTGGATTTAAACTTCTTTGTTCCATTAACAGTTTATTCAAGGATTTCATGTGTTGGACAAAGTTTAAAAAGGGTTTCAGATTCAAAGGAATTCAAACCAGTTAGAACCATTTTAACTTGAAATTTCATAGTACCATCAAGTTTCATTCCCTTTTGTTTTGAACCCACATATCAATTTAAAAATATGAAATTTTCCAAATAGTTAACTGGTTCACCCTCTTTATAAGTTTCCAGACAGTTTAGCTGAAATTTATCTTTGTATGTCTGACTTTCCTTGAATGTCATTTTTGTCATCATGCTGTTTTGTACTTGGTTTCATCATCAAACCCTTAGTGGGCTAATAAAACTCTCTCATAAATTGATTTTTATTACTACATCTACTTGTGTCTGGTGTGAAAGTATTAGGAATACATACCTTTAAGTTTCATTTTAGTGCTGGTGAGGTGATGGGTTTTTATATAATAATTTCAGGAAGCCATTAAGGAAAACAGTGTCACCATGAACAAAATGAGAGTTCTCAAGAATAAAATGGAATCACAGAAAAACATGAAGGTAGGGAATTGAACCATCCATTGAGGGTAACCTGCTGTATAAGTGTTAGGAATCCACACAAATAAGTGTCATGATGTGAAAACATCTTTTCTTATTCACCAACTGAAATACTGATAACAAGCCATACAGGTCTCTTACAACAAGAATAGAATTGAGGAATCTTACATAAACATTAAGTTTTCAGAGAGAGAGATGGTGTGTGTTTGAGGTCAATTCATTTTACTTTACTTTTCTACTGAGCAATGAATAATTTTGTCTTTTTTTGTATACAAGGAGGAGGCAGATAAGTCTGTGGTATAAACAGAGAAAGTTTTTTAGAACTTTTCTTTAACCAGATGGGCATTTGATTTTTAAGCAATAGAGGATATTAGGAATAGTTTTGTGCCAAGAATTTTTGTGCATAATTGTTTGGTTTTGATTTTATTTCAGCCTAAATATCAACCAGCACCACCACCCACTGAAAAACCTTCCAGTGCATCCATTTTCAGTGCACGAAGAAGGTAAATTCAGTTGTTAGTAATATTCAGACATTTATTTATTAATCCACAGTGTAAGTGATTGTAGAAATTTTTTACTGTTTCTTGTTTGCAATAGATGTGGCTATATCTCAGACTTTTAATGTGGAGGATTGTTGGAGAGCAATTGGGATATGACAGGAGATGATAACAAATGGACCTGCACAAGGAGGAGGGAGGGGAAAGGGGGGAAAAAATTATATTGATTATCTATTTCCCTCCCCTTCCTTTCCAGTTTTTGTAGTATGATAAGCAGCTTTAAAGATATCCTTGAGTGTTTGCCCTGAAAAGGCATTTGTGTCAGAGACCATTGCTTGTTGTCTCTCTTGATAGGATTTATTGACTTTTCTTCCAGGTTGCAATTAACCTCTGCTTCAGCTGCAACAAAGACTCACGAGACAGCATTCCGAGTTGTTGATCATCATTCAGCAAGTAGACATCAACCTAAGGCAGGAGCAATTCAAGGTTCACCTTCAAAACAGTCAAGTGCGACAAGCAGGGTGACGCCCAAAGGGCCTTTGCCACCTGTAAATACAAGAAGGAAAACAAGTCAAATTGATGTATCAGACTTTTTAGTACAATCTAGCCAGGATACAAAAATTGTTCCTTCAAGTCGAACTCTTTCAAGGAGTGCAATTAAAGAAGGAAGAAAGACAATATCAGAGATAGTGAAAGACTCTAAAGAAATTAAACCACTGGGAAGTATATCAAAACCTGTGAGTCATCACAAGGAAACAAGGACTTCAAGCCCATCACATGGGGCAACTAGTTTAGATTACGCATCTGGAAGTGCTAGTTTACGACGATCAAGAATTCCTGAGGATTCTTCCAATATTAGGTATCCTTTAGATTTGTCAACAGGAAGTGGTGGATTCAGACGGCTTCGTGGGATGGACAATCGGGTTCCAACTCCTGAAGGAAGAAGATCCGGACTTTTGGTTAGTATGGATCATAGCTTTTTTTACCACTCCTTCTGTAAATCAATTTTTTAGTTTTATCAATTTGATGAGCAAAAGACTACCTTCACTGTTGTAATTTCAATTCTATAAAGTAGTACAATGAGGTAGTACAATTAAAAGTTTTATGAAGGAAGCAGCACAGAAAACATAAGTTAAATGTTATCTGTCAGTTTTTCAGAATTTCTCCTGAGAAGTATTTTTTCAAGGCCTTTATTGACTAAGATAATTCATGTGAAAAAGTGAATCCTCTTGTGTCTTGAAATTATCCAACTCAAGGAAACTTGCTTTTAAATCTCCATTCATGGTAAAGAGTATCAAATCAGAGTAGAGACTGAGATTTTCAGTGGACAAGTACAATAACTGTTACTGATTATATCCACATTTGCATTTGCAGAATGATTCCCTGTCATATTCATATCGAATTTCTCATGGAAGTGCATCGAATAGTGAGTAATTTATATTATATAAAGTACCACTCTTCAACATTGTAACTTGTTTTATTAAATTTATTATTTGATTACAATATTCAGAATATGCTGAATTGATGGCATTGTCTTTTCTATTTTAGATTCTCCTTCACACTCTCATCATCTTCCTCCTGTAAAAACAAAACCACATCCACCGCCTCAATTGTTACCTGTTAAAAAGAAGACTAGATGTTTTATGTGTGGGAAAAAAACAGGATTAGCCACAACATACCAATGCAGGTAAGCTTAATTGTGATTTTGGCTGTGTATAATTTTGGATACAATAACTTTAAATCATGCAACACATTAAATGCATTAAGTGTTTCCTGTGTTATTTATTTATTTATTTTTTATTTTTGGTGTAAATTTTTTGATGGTGATTTCTGTGGCTGCTTTTTATTTATAGCTCACAGGTTTTCACTAAAAACCAGTTACTATCAATCTTCTGTAGTCTAGGTGGCCTAGACTGCAGAAGTAGTATTATTAGTAGTATAATTATTATCATTATCTTGCTGGTTTTATTATCCTTAAAATGTTTGTGGTGTGATGCTTAGTCTGTGTTTTTCTTTTGCCACAGATGTGGAAATTCATTTTGTGCAACTCACCGTTATGCAGAAGCTCACAGCTGTACATATGACTACAAAAGTGAAGGAAGAAAAATAATTGAACAGAACAATCCAGTTATAGCAGCACCTAAGCTCCCCAAAATCTGACAGTTTCCTTGGTAGCACTTATGTACAGTTACAAGTCAGATGAATATATTTTGTAAATATGTTTCAGGTCAATTAAAAATTAATGCCTTGATGGTTTGCATCATAGAGAATTGAAAGTCACTGGGATATTGAAGTTTCCTAATTTTGTTTACCTTTGGTACCATGGCAACTGCTGTTACCATTTACTTTGTCTGAAAAATCTTGGTAGCCCATCCTATATTAATCCTAAGCAGTAAAATTGCTGTGCAATGTATGTTTAGATTTTTGGTTTGTTTCCACTTAGTATCAGTGGTTTGAAATACAATTTTTTGCAGTCCTTATCATTATTTAAACTTTATTCGAGGTGGGGCTTTGTTAACATTTTTAATGGTTTGTGGATTTCTATATAGACTTCTTTTATAGTTTTCTTTTTGTCTAATATTAGAGGTCTGTAGTAACTTTAGACATTCTGCTTAGTGGTAGATAAGTATGGTTACATTCTATTCAGGAGTGGTTCATGAAACTTTAAATATAGTAAGATTCCTTTCTCTTTGTCCATAATTCATTGTACATAAATTATTGCAAAGCTAATCCATGGTCACTTGTAAACAAACTGAACTACTTAAAGGAGGAGGTAAAGGAGTGAAATAAAAGAAAAAATGTAATGGTATTGCTGTAGACCTCTGAATTATTTTTGGTCTGTTTGATGTTTGCCTTTTGTTACCCATAGTGTAATTACATGACAGCAATGTCAGGTTACTGTTAGAGTTAAGTGCAATTCAGTTGTTACTGACACTGCTTCTTGCGTTAAGTTTTGTTTCTTTGTTTACTTGCCTATACACCAAAGAGACAAAAAAATCTGTGACTTTATTACCATTACTCTGTCTGGTCTTTTAAGGGCATGGCACAGTTGGTTTTCAAGTCTACACTAATCTCACTTTTTTCCTCTTTTTTGACCAAAGACACTCATTACAGATAGTCACCAGGAAACCTTTAGTACCCACATATTTAATTGTTCCCACATAAAGTGAACAAATAAATATTGATGGATAGTTATTGTCAGACTGAGTGTGATCAATTTTGGCACCTTGGGAAGAATAAAAGGTACTTTAAATTAAAGGAGATGTATGGGCCATATTGTTAGTGCACTGGAGTCAGGATTCATGCCTTAGGTTACCATATTGTGTATCTGGGTAAATAATTCTCAGAGCTTTCCTCCTCTCAAGATGAAAATTATTTACCTTCCAACTGTTTGGGAAACCTGATGGATAGTTATTGTCAGGCAGAGTGTGATCAATTTTGGCACCTTGGGAAGAATAAAAGGTACTTTAAATTAAAGGAGATGTATGGGCCATGTTGTTAGTGCACTGGAGTCAGGATTTATGCCTTAGGTTACCATGTTGTGTACCTGGGTAGATAATTCTCAGTGCTTTTCTCCTCTCATGACGAAAATTATTTACCTTCCAACTGTCTGGGAAACCTCGTGACAAAATTTTTGGTACTCTGTTTATTATTTGTCACATCATGAAGGTTCAAAGATGCCTTCTGGCTTGAAAATAAAAATTGCCTAATTTTTAAAATTAAAAAACTTGCAGGAGAAGGAAAAGATTTTGCCTTTCTATCCCATTTTTTTCAGTCATTTTATTATTTAGAAGGTTCAGATGTAAAATAAATTAATTATTAAATATTTCACTTTTTCATTTTTATCCAATGCAACAAAACATCAAACATCCTTTTACATGTCAAAATCTTCATTTCAAATTGTGAAATCATTTTTTGTTGTTGAACTTCTTTTGTTTGTATGTTAATATCACAACATAGCCCAGGAATATACAAAAATTGTCACAGAAAAGGGAAATGGAACACTCAAAACTAGTCACACTATTGCCTTGGATGCCTATATTTCTGTACATCCCAACAGGTTTTCCTTCTTTTCTTTTTTTTTTGCTGTTGTTAGAGATCTTGGTCTGCCCTGCGGCTTTGAAGTCTACAATAAGGAAAGAAAATTATATCAAACCAACCATCTGCCTTCAACTGGATGTTGCATTTCTTGCAAATCAAGCATGAAGCTTTGATTCACTAACAAATATAAGGCCACAGAGAGAAGGAAGCTTAGTTATGGTGTCCCTAATACTACTCTTCTTGTTAACCTGGTTTTAATAACAATAAGCAACTTAGTTGTAATTTATAACTATTTTCATTACTCTTGTAACCTTTCTTACTTATTTAACTTCTTGAAACTCGATCATCTAAAATACTTCCTGAAGTTAAAATGAATTAAAGAAGTATGGGTTTTGTCTTGTCATGAGCAGGGTACAAACAAAAAATACTGAGTCTTCATAAGCACTTGAACCCCAAACAGTCACATTCCATGCTCTGATGCTCTACGACTGAGGTACAGAGAACTCTATTTTGGAGTGTATCAGGCCACATCTATGTTCATGTCATATAATATGAAAATGAATGATTATTTACTTTGGACTGGGGTTAGTCATAGCCAAAGATAAATTTGTAGCATGAACTTTTTAAAAAATATTATCTGCTCTAGTGTCATGCAACCTGTAAGATACATACTGTATGACAATAATCTGGCAGGTCTGCATGTGTACCACCCTGCTTCTATTGCAGGTTTATTTTCAGTTCATTTCTTTACTATTATTATAAGTAGTTCCATTTCATTGTCAGTAGCAGTTTGTGATAAAATTATTATTTTCAGTGACTAAAAAAAAAATTAGACATAGTATTAATTGTGGAACCTGCCAACAGAGCTTCTTGGAATTTGATAACTGTCTTTCTAAAAGCCCAGTTCCCAGCCAAAATGGCTTATAAAGAAGAAATAACACTAGTAAGAATGTGGGCACTTTTTCTAGCTCTCTTCTGTCTGGCTCCATGATTAATCTTCTCTCTCTAACTCATCAATAATGAAACATGAAACAAAACTTACGATGTGGAACTGGACGAAGCACCAGACCAAGGTTTACTTCTAGGACCTGCTGTATGAGGCCTAGGTGTTGTTTGTCTCAGGGCCTCAGAGAGTGGGACTCTTTGAGGAGTTGGTGTATGGGACCTGAAGGACCTTGAATTAGATCTGCTTGAAGATGTCCTGTGTCGTTCGCATCGACTGCACATTGGAACCTGGTAATCTGTTTAATGTCAGTTACCAGTATTTTAAAGTTAGAATTTTAATCCAAAGACATTGAAAATTAATAGACTTAGTGTATATCTATGTTATAGAGATGGTCACCAGCATTTTCAATACACACCTTGACCAGCTTCATCTGGTTGTTCATCATTTGGTCCTGCATACCTACAAAGATTTCATGGTAATAAAAATGGGACTCATCAATTGAAATCACTGATGATATTATTGATAAGTTGCTGTGGAATTATAAAACATGGAATTAAAAAGTTGTGACATTTTCAATTAAGTAATGAATGATGTGCAAATGTAATGTTAGTAATGCACCATTTAAAAAAAAAAACATACCAAGGATTTTGATAAAGATGAGTATGTCTGTCCTCTGTAGCTTGTCTAAATTCACCAAGCTGTCAAATAAATGCAAAGGAGAAAAAAGTTGAAGAATTAATTTAAACTGATAAATGTATGTGGCAGTGCTGGGAAAGGCTACTGAAAAATGACAGCATACATGTGATCTGAATCTAATTACATAAATGCAAGAAGTACATTTGAATCAGAGAAAGTTTCTGTCATTACCTTGATTTGGTGACCACTCCTCAAATGCCGATGGTCTTTGTAAAACTGAAGACCCCACCCAATTTCTCCAACCTATATTAGTAAATAAAGAAACCCTTTATATGTGACAGTAGCCTAATAGGCTAGATAGATATGTGACAATTATTTGTGAAGATTTCATTACTATTACTATACCCTTAATGCATTTCAGGGTATATTGTCCTTACTCTCATTTGATTTCAAAATTTTAGTTTTTTACTTTAAATACCATTTTTCCCATTCATACTTGTTTCACACCTAAATTAGTTACCTTGGCAGACTTGGGCAGAGGAAAAGCACAGCCCTACAGTGAAATAATATGACAATTATTATTGAATATGATTATTATTTAAATTATAGATCCTTACAACAAATCATCAGCCCCTTTCTAATCAATGTACCTTGAGAAATACCATTCACCCCTCAAAGAAAACATCGAAAAAACACAAACTGACGATAAATTTATGCAGTTAAATATTTTCCCAGCCTCCCACAGGGGGCCTTTAGTCCTTCCCACGGAACCCTATGGAATTTACACCATAATGGTTCTCTTCTGTGAGGTACTGAATACTTCCTGAAACAGCAAATAATGATCACAATAATTTTTTTGCTAAATTATTCACCCAAACCACTAAATGAAGGTTGTAACCTTACCTTGGATGGTCTCCATAAATAGTTCAGATCACTAGACCCCTCAGGAGACATTGTTCCAATTCCCACATAAGTATTGGGATCGAGGACTGCTGTGTGGTGATCCCTGATGCCATCAGGACCTATCAAACAAAAAAAGAGAAAGATATCAGCGAGTTCACCATGGAAATAGAACATAATTTGGTCTTAATGATGGAAAAATCTTAAAGATGTATGAACCCAGCCGTGCAATAGAGGTTACCATCAGTCAAAACCTTAAATTTTTTAGAGCTTTTCACACGGGCCCTCGTACAACAAAGAATGGTAAATACAAGAAATCGGTTGCAAATACTGCATATAACTTTCTGAAAATGCATCGTAGCATCACTAGACCAACGCAAGTAGAACAGAACCCTGAAGTGCTATTTTTCGAAATAGGAGACCGGTTCCACACGCACATTCCTTCATGAGGTCAATCAGTTTATCTCCACCATCTGCATCTGTGTTTCTCTCTTATCTGTCAAAACTTTAGTCAAAACTTTTACAGTGTTTGACTTTTCGGGCACTCTGAGCTCGACTTAATTCCGCAAAGATAAAGGAAATTTTGCGCTCGGTAAATAATGTAAACACGTGTGGCTGTAAGAGACATTCCGAAGCTAAAGAATTTATTGAACCATTTCTCCTCAGTTATATCTTTGAACAGTTTTACCTGTAAAAAGTACCTCTCCACGGCCAATGTATGGGTTGTAGTATTTGTCGGAACCTCTCCAAGACACGACGCTTGCCTTTTCTACCATTTTGTGATTGTTTCTGAATGTCTGTGGCCTCTAGCTGACCTAGACGCTGTTGCTAAGCAACAAAGTAGCCGGGAGTGCAACAGGTCGTCGGGTGTCCCGCTGTCACGCAATCAGTAAACAGATGTAATCATCTGTTCATAAGAATTTATTTTCTAGAGTAATTTTTTGCAATTTTCCAGCAGTAGCAAGAAAGCTCTCTAGATTCTAGGACGATTTGCTCTTTTGAACTGAACATTGACATTATCTTTACAATTTCAGGACAAAGTTCCTGGACTACGAAATATTTAACCCGTCGCGCGAGTAAGAGGGTCTTGTAAATATTTTCATTAAAGGAGGAATTAGGACTTTGCCCTCTTGAGTCGGGTGAGCAGCTCCCTGAAAGTCACGCATTCATTGTAAAATTTCGTTGGGATTTTCTTAAAGCTACGTAATGCAGAAAGCCAATTGACGCTGAACGTAGCGATTGGGATTTCGCTGAAATAATGGTAATTAGTATGCTCAATGAAATTAAATGAATGGCCAAGCTACTCGTTATGTGTTCTCTTAATTTATTTGTTTGTTTTGCCTTTCTTCCTCAAATTCTTTCATTCTTTAAGATTAGTACAGTTGGAGAAGATTACACCACGTTGCCCCTGCATTTTAGTTTCAAGCTCCCCCAGCTATATCCGCGTTGTCCGCCAAGTGTAGCAGAAATAGCAAAGAGTGGGTATCAACTGCATCCGCCGGGAGGTAAGATTTTTAGCTTTATTTTAGTGTATCGTCCACAAAGCGTGAAAGGAGAACTGATCCCACACACTATTATTGATTTTGAAAGCGTGAAAGGTGAGAAACGGGTATTTCTAATGAAATCGTCGCGCTCTTGGAATATTACCCATGGCACATGTTGCGCGTGGCCAATCGAAAAGTTTTTCGATGATTCATGCTTAATTCTTCGGTTGAGCGACATAAAAGATTGCTTGCCATTCTCCAAGACTTTGATCTGAGCAAGTGATGTCTTTTCCCATCTGTCGTTTTAATTGTAATCGTTGTGCCTCATGAAATGTAACCTGAAAGCAAAATATTGACGAGAAGACGCCTGCTCTATCCGAGGGAGTTGACGAAATTGACGTTGCAATACTCACCCTACTCTTTCATCATTATTCGACCTTACTTTAAAGATTTGTGATTACAAAAAGTACACTCGTAAATCAGCAGTATGAGCGTTTATGATAACCGTGAATGCTAAAATTAAATCTACTTGCCCAACCGGCGATTTCACAGTTACATGTTGTATTGGTATTTCTAATGGCTTACGCGTCAGTAGTCTTATATTATTCACGAATATAAGTATGAAAAATGCACGAAATTATTTCAATACCTTTTCAATTTTACTCTTTCAAAATGCAAATTACGATATGGTTGTTACTCAAATCGAACAGTGTGTGGTCTCACCATTAGACACGTTTGCAAAATCTTATCTTTACTAGCTTTTTTACGAGAATTTTATTTCCTTTGACAATTAGTTGTTCACTCAGATGATTATCTTATCCTGAAAATTTCCATGTCTCTTATGGACTACAGCTACGAGTGTTTGATTCTGAACAAGACTTGTGTATTCTCAATCCTTACTTTACTAACTTGTCAATGGTGAAGTATGCAAATTCCTCAAGTAGATGAGAAAGTGCTTATGTGGCATCTCAACCTTTCACTTTTTCTACGGTTAGAATGGCTGTAGGTAAAAGTGGGAACCTAAGATATTCCATGAAAATACTGAATTAATATTAAACATAATTGACAAATAGTTATGGTAGTATTGTTTTGCATACAATTAAGGGTAGTACAATATGCAATTAGTTGTGTGTTCTTCAGGATCTTGAACAAAATGTACTCTTTGTGTAAAAGCAAAACAGGATTTTAGTTTATTAATAACTTGATATTAATATGTAATGGTTAATAGTAGTAAATGATAAAACACCTTTTTTATACCTCTTTTTTTCACTTAATTACCTCTGGCTTATGTTGGAGCTGACAAATAGAAACTAGCAGAATAAATTTATAACATCACCTAAAAACTTGCCTTATGTTTTACAATCTGACTGACTGACTGATCCCTTCCCCTTTCCTACATTTTTGTCTAGCAAAGAAGTTAGGGTCAATTTAGTTGAAAGCAGTGAAGTGAAGGCTGGATAGAGATTAATGTGTTTAAACTCGGATTGGCTAGGGCTCAATATTTGGGCAAACTTGACATTAAGTTGTTGCTGCAAACTGCCCTAAGGAACATTTGCTCCCCATGGAGTGGATACAACTTTTTTTCTCAGTGATTGTGTGATCACACATTAATTCAACCTTATTGGAATTTTTGTGACCAATTTTGAGGGGAAAACACCATAGGGACAAAGACTTCCACTGACTTTTATGCTGATAACAAAGAGAATTAACAGTTCCACCTGTTCCCTTCTCATGCAATGTTGTAGTGTTTTATCATTCTTCAGAGCTATATGAACAACTACATGTATTTTAAGAAGTTTCAATTTTTTATCCAACTTCTTTGCAGAAAATGTCTATTCCACCAAAGTATGATGACCTTGGTAAAGAGTCCAGGGATGTGTTTGGAAAGGGATACGGTAAGACAGAGCCAAATGTAAGAGCTGTTGGAAATTGTCAATTGAGTTAGCTTGTCACTTTTGGTAAAACCCTCTTCACAGCATCAATTTGTCAAAATTCTGTTATCATCTGTTTTAGGATTTGGGTCAGTCAAGCTTGACTTAAAGACAAAAACAAAAAACAATGTGGTAAGAAAAATGGACTTATATGCATGAAGTTAAATTTTAATCTTACTTTAACCCTTCAACTCCCAGACCAAATTTGTAATTCTCCTTACTGTCAATCATACAATTCTTCTAATGCTAGTTCAGAGAATTTAGTATTGGATCAACTAATTATCCCCAAATTAATAGTTTCCCTTATTCTCATCACTTGTCTAGTTGATATTTTAAGGAGTCTTGGTCACTCATAGGAGTTAAAGGGTTAATGAGCATTACCACTAGTATTTGTTTGTGTATGTTTCTATCTTTGGAGTGATTATGTGGGTCACCTGACATAATAACTTTGGACTTTGTTCAAGATCATGTTATAGTTAAGTTCTAGTATAACTTATTTTAAATGTAATAATAGTTGTGAAGTGTTTTCTCTACCAGCTGATACACTGTTTGTTCGTTTTAAGGAATTTGTAACCTCTGGTTCATCTAACAATGACACAGGAAAGGTGTTTGGTAGTTTGGAAACAAAGTACAAATATGCAGATTATGGTAAGCAAACAACTAGAGCACCGAACAGCAGGCCAAGAAAACCTTCATATGACTCTGATAAGAGTTAACTAAATTTTTGAAGCTAGTTTAGATGTAACTGGGTCAGAGAAATAGGCTCGAGTCTAACCCATGCTCATTAGTAACATGAGACTTGATCCCTAGGGATGTATTGGAGGTCAATGTGTTTTTAATTAGATATGCTGTAAGCATATGTTCTTACAAGAGGTGTTGAATGTTTTGTGTTCAATAGGTGTTACCTTGGCTGAGAAATGGACGACAGACAATTTCCTGACCTCGCAAATCACAGTAGAAGATCAGGTACATTCAGTTTTTAGCACTGATATTCTATGGTGTGTACATTTCTATGATCTTGCAGCTAGATGTGACTCATGGCACATAAGCTCTGCCTACTGATAGTATAAGCAAGTATTTTTCTATTCTCTTTTGTAACAGATAGCCAAAGGACTCAAATTGGAATTTGACACAAGCTTTGCACCCAACACTGGGTGAGTGCAGTATTAAATACTGTTGTCCTTTATGGTGGTTATGAATTGTAAAAACTTTATATGTGCCCCATTTCTAAAGGGTTAAGCTTCCAATTCAAGGCTAAATGCCTCTCCAGAATCTATCAAACTTCCTCTTGGTAGTAATGGATTTCTATTGAAACACACCAGGTAAATTGGTTAACATTTACCCTGAAGAAGTTTTACTGTACCATGCATTTGACTTTAAATCAATGGAAATTTTAAATAATTTCATTTTCCTCACTGTCATATTCATAATCACAATCTTAACCCTTCAACTCCCATGAGTGACCAAGACAGAATTTTTCCCTACAATATCAATACAATATCAACCAGATAAGTGATGAGAATAAAGACAAATATCAATTTGGAGATAACTAGGTGATCCAATACAACATTCTCTAAACTAACATTTAAGAATTGTATGGTTGACAGTAAGGAGAATTACAAATTTGATCTGGGAGTCAAAGGGTTAAGCAAAGGACATGAAAATCACTTTGGTTTTTAATAATTATATCAGAACAGGAAAAAGTTTCAACCACACAATCCCAATCTAGTAAGGAAGTTAATCCTTATTTGTATATGGATTTAATATCAACTTACCCTTTTTATTGCTGATTCAATTGCAACCTGATGCATGTTTAGGAAGAAATCTGCCAAGATAAAGAGTGCTTACAAGCAGGATTACTTCCATGGCACTGGTGATGTTGACTTTGATTTTGCTGGTCCAACAGTTCAAGCGTCTGCAGTTGTAGGGTAAGTGTTTCTCTGCAAAGCTCTTTGTAAAAAATTGGCCTTTGGGTCCATAGTTGTTTAGTGTTGAGCTCAAAATATAGTTAGAACCCAAAAAACAATTTGACTAATTTGACAAAGGATTTGAGCTGCAATGTAAGATTTTTGCAACTTTTTGCAACTTGTTTTGTTATCCAGGAGGTACATATATTTTACTCTTGCATGATGTTTTTGTGATTCCAGATATGAAGGCTGGGTGGCTGGTTATCAGGCTGCTTATGACACTGCCAAGTCTAAACTGATTGGCAACAACTTTTCCTTTGGTTATCGAGGAGGTGACTTCCACATTCACTCCTCTGTGTAAGTAAAGTTCTTTCCTGTTACATGGAATCTTAAAAGGGCAAGACATCCCCAGATTCATCTGATCAGAAAACATCAAAGGCTTGAATGAATCTGACAGGGTTGACCAATTTGCTTTTGTTTCTAGGAATGATGCCTCTAGATTTACTGGATCAATTTATCACAAGGTAAGGTATCTTGGGTTTACCAAATGGCATCTTAACAACACATTTTCTTAAATGAGGTTCTTAAGTGAGGGAACTACAACAAGTTTTAAAAGCATAGAAAAGTCAGCTGGAGACAGCTCTACTCCCCCAACCCTTGCACGAAAATCTTTTCTTCTGTGTTAGTAGCTCTTCACAAGAAGTTAAGGAGGCTACAAAATCAGTGACATTGATGATGATCACAACAATTTGTTTTCAGCTTAGCAGCAACCTTGATGCTGCAGCAGAGCTCAACTGGGCATCTAGTAGCAGCAGTACTTCATTCCAAGTTGGTTGCAAGTATGATGTAGACAAAGATGCATCTTTTAGGGTAGGTAAACTATTATACTACTGTGCAATGTGGCAGCATTGTTACCAAGAGTCATGCCTTAAGTACACATACTCTTCTGCCTATGAAAATCCTTTAAAACAGTACCATTGCAGCTTTACATGGTGATACATTATTATTACTCTTAAGGTTACTTCCCACCTTCAGAGGCTGAAAAGGTTGATTTTTCTCTTATTTGACTTGCTGAATTCAAACATTCAACCTAACGTTTCCATAAAAAAATTTCTGAAATCTTTAAAAGCACCCCAATATGTAGAAAAATGTATTTTTAAGTAAAAGTTAATAAATCAGAAGGTGTCATAATCTCAGACCTGGGTGAATCCCCAGAGGGAATTTTTGTGGCAACTGCTCATTTTTAGGCTCGTTTTTTCATGTTATTTCCGTATTTTGTTTACATCATGCACTTAACAAAATTCACATGTGGAAGCTCTTTGCTTATGAAAAGACCTTTGGTCATGGAAGGAAAACATTGGTTGAAAAAAAACAAAAAAAAAAAAAAAAAACAGGTCCAAAGAAGAAAGACAGTGTACCATTCTGTCACAACAATAAAAATTACTTTATGAAAGCCACTAGTACTGGCAGAGCTCCATGCTGGCAACCACACAAGGTTTCCTTTTCTTTATGCAAGTACCAGCCTTGATACAAAAATATTAAAAATTGTTATCTTGCTGCTCAGCACATTTTGCAGTTTTCCCATTTTTGCTGAGGGTTTTGCCTTTGCCTTTGCCTTTGCCTTTGGCAACTTTGCTCATAATTGTGTCCTCCTCTGTAACGCTTCCCTGAGCAATTAAGATTAAAAAAATAAACATGTCTGCAATGGGTTAATTTTCCTGGGAAATCTTGATCCATTGCTATTGACACCAGGAGGTCGCATTGGCCCACTGGTTTGCTGTTTCAGGAGAGGGGATAATCTCCTGGCATGGCGAGTGAGTGAAGTTGTAGGTTATATAGACTGGAGTGATTTTCATCAAATTTTGCTAAAACATTCCAGGAATAATGACAAATGGAAGTGTGTAGAAAAATGTTGATATTTGAAATATTTGTCCGAATAAGACTGTGCAGTCATTTTGCTGCTGCTGTGGCATCCAATACCCGATAAATTCAATTGAAGAACCTTTGGTTGTTTCACACCTTACCAGCTCCTGACACTTCCTCAATAGAAAAAAAGTTTAAATTAGATTTTTATCATAATCTGCAGTTATGAAGCTTTGTTATGATGTATTGTGAGCTAGGATTTTAGTGAAACTAGCATGCATACAAATTTTTCCTGAAGGACACCTGAAGGTGGGAAGTAACCGTAAGGGGTTAGATCTCATTTATATGGGAGAACTTTTTTAAAGCAAATTTTTACTCTCTGCTCTTTTCAAAGGCTAAAGTGAACAACAACAGCCAAGTGGGTGTAGCCTACACCCAGCGTCTTCGTGATGGAATCAAGCTCACTCTTTCTTCACTGATTGACACCAAGAATCTCAATCAAGGAGGACACAAAATTGGTCTGGGTCTGGACATGGAAGCTTGAGAAGTTGGCAGTGAACTTTTCTCCTACAATAAAACAACTGCTGAGTGAAGCAGTGTGTACTGAAATTTAGTTTTTTTTTTTCATTCAGTGTGAGAAAGCTTCTGCTTTACAGAGCAAATGCTTTAAGGGCTAAAATATGTGTAAAGTCAGGCATGCATGCAATTGATTTGTTTTGAATAAACTTCAAAGTAACCTGTTGCTTTCTTATCCCAAGTGTTGTCTTGTGAATTTTTTGATACTGCTAAACTTCACTCAGGAGATATGATAATTGATTGGTTAAAGCCTTACAGGTAATAACATACAAGAGTAATCAAGATGTTGGGCATTTACGTAGGGTTTAATTTCTCTTCTGTGGTTTTCGTTGTAATTATTAAATTAAAACTAAAAGAGGAAGTGTTGTTGGTTCCTCTCAGGGATATGGGGCCTTCCAGGCTCACTTGAGCGTAACAATGGTAAATGATGTTGAAGCTAACATTTGTGGAGACATGGGTTATCTTTGGATTACAGTTGAATAGTTTTCCAGTTAAATGTGACTTTTGGTGGTCCCTCGGGAAGGAAATGAAAGGAGTATTTTCTAAGAAATTGCATCAGATATAATCTCGCCTTAAAGAAATGTCACATCCTACATCATTCGAGGAGTAGAGAGCTAGAAATATCTTAAAGCTATGGTCTTTTACGTGTTGAAAAAAATGCCTTGCAAATGAAGTGAACAGTTTATTCAAGTGAAAAAGGTAAAAAAACGTTCTCTGGTTAAAAAGGTTTTAAAATATGAGCTTTCGGCTGTTGTACTATAGCCTTTAACGAATGTAAAAAAAATAGAATGAATAGAAATATATACAGGGGAGGGTGTGAAAAAATTAAAAACTAAAAAATACAATAGAAGTGTGAAAAGCTAAAAAATGGACAATAAAACAAAATCAAATTACAATAAGATGGAATATTGTCTTGGTAACGGTTTAGAGTTATTGTCTGCGCCGACAGTTTTTGCGGTATGCCAAGATTCTAGTGTTTTTCGAACGCGGTAATTGCCTTTGTCTATCACGGTAGCGCCCTCAAAGTCAATCGCGTGATTGTTTTCCCACGCATGGTTGGCAATGTTCGAGCCACTCGTATAGTTTTTAAGATTTCGTTGATGTTCCTTTCTTCGGGTTTTAAAGCATCTGCCAGTTTCTCCTACATAACTCCAACAGCAGTCAGAGCACGGAATTTTATAGACAACATTGCATTGTAGATCTAAGGGCTGCCTGAACTTAGGTGACGGAAATTCTTGTTGCAGGGTTTTAGCTGGTTTGCTAACCACACGAATGTCATTTTTACGAAGTATTCTGGTAAGGGGCTCAGTCAGGCCGCTGATGTAGGGAAGACAAGCGAAACCCAGAGATGTGTCTGATGGATCGGCCCATTTGAAGAACATGGACACTAACTCTTCTGGTGGAGGAGTTGTCGGAGCTGACTTCTTTTTTAAAATGTTGGAAATAACTACTGATGGGTAGCCATTAGCTTTTAGGGCTTCGGTAACGTGGCCAGTCTCGCGTCTTTTACCTTCAATGGTGCTCGGAAGGTTGGCTGCACGGAATAGAAGGGTCGAGGCCGCACAGACTTTATGTTTTAATTCATGATGTGAAGAAAAATCTAGATATCTATCTGTGTGTGTCGGCTTCCTGTAAACATCAATGCTAGTAACACCATTTTTCCTGGAAACAAGCGTGTCCAGGAAAGAGATTTGACCATTGTTTTCTTCTTCGATAGTAAAAGCGATTTTGGGATCAATGGAGTTTAAGGCGTCATCGAAGGAGGAGACAGCATCTTTCTTGATGATAACAAAGCTGTCGTCAATATATCGTTTCCAAACCCTTGGTGCAACTGTAGAGGTATTAATGGCTAATTCTTCAACTACCTCCATGCAAAGATTAGCGACGATAGGGCTTACAGGGCTGCCCATGGCACATCCGTAGACTTGCTTATATATACAGTTATTGTAGACAAAATAGTTGTTGGAGAGAGTGAAGTCCAATAGAGAAATGATGTCATCGGTAGTAAGGCTTGTTCTAGATTGTAAAGTACTGTCATTGTTCAACTTGTTGCGAATATAATCACACGCTTTGTTGACGGGGATAGCTGTGAAAAGCGACACAACGTCGAATGACACCATAACTTCATCATCAGAAATTTCCATATTGGCTACTTCTTTTATTTAGTTTATTCAAGTGTTCTATCCAGTCTTCGACGTCTTGAATGTATTCAATGTTATCTTTGGACTCTTGGCCAATTTCCAGGTTATCATGACATCTAGCCAATGTTTACGTGGATCATCGAACTCTACCCGCTAGAGAGACGAGTGTCTGATTCTTTTGGATGAGTTAGTGGACAATCTTAATAAGTATCTACGTTAGAACGATACCGTTTCGTCTGACTTTATCCCGTCCATATTGGGCATTGTCGTTTCACGTTGTTACAGAATTGTCTGTAATACATGGTACGTGATACCCGCCTCCGTCCCACCCACTTTACGCCTCTCAGGTCACATGATGATCACACGCCAGTGTAACAATACACCGCAAACATTTGATTTTGACGCAGAGTTCATGAAAAGCGAAAGGTAGTCGATGTAACGAGGCCTGTTAACGTTTCAGACAACGTCAAGAATAAATGTGACATAGATATCTTAAACTCACGAAAGAGAAACAGAAAAACTTTATTTGATTTGTCTGGCCGAGGATCCTGGGTCTAGATCAATTGTTCCTGTACTATTGAAGCAAGCCTGCACTTTAAGAGCATTTTGGAGAAAGTTTTCTTCCGATCTGAACTACGATGCAACTGATTGAGAGGACAGTGTTTTGCTTTTTGGCTGCATCTTTGTGGACAGGAATTTCAGCCGTCGTCCCTCTTCCAGAAGAAAACATGAACGTGGTAAGGGCGTGTGTTTATGTTGTGGATGTGGCGGCCATGAAACCTAGGTCATGTTGCGTAATTTCCTATGGCATAAGGAGAAGGATTTAGGAAAATATTGGAGATCATGACTTGCTGAAGGGAATGCTACGATGAGATATCTTTAACTTTGACGATAAGATACCGCGCTTTCCCGCAGTGAACCTAAAGGGCTGATCTTTTTGTCTCTTCAATATAGCACATGCAAAGTACCCACAATTTTAAATTTCAGACTAAAGCAACTAGCAAAGAATGTGAAATTGAGATAACTTTGAAACGACTTGCAAATGGCTTCGAAGAACTTCTTCCATTCGCGCCTCTAAAAAAACAAATAGTTGACGATGTAGACGCAATGGCTTCCGTGATTGCTGATGGTTGCTTTAATTTGGTTTGAACTGTCATCAGCTCTTTCCTTTACTTTTCAACGTTTACGAACTCGGCCAATTGGTACTGACGAAAGTATAGGAGAATTTCGAGGCACGTAACCTATAAATCACTTTTCCAGAGCGTTTGTAGTTTTAAATCAAATATTAATTTCCGGGAATGAGGAGAAATTTTGGGCAGACCTTGATCTGTGTGACTTGTGCATAACAAATGTTGTTGTTGTTTTTTTATCCTATAGACTCAAATGATAATTTACAATGGCTACCCTGCCGAAGAGTATAACTTTACAACTCCTGACGGCTACATCATAACCATTCAAAGAATTCCCCACGGGAGACAGGAAACTTATGCCTCTGAAGATGCCAAACCGGTTATTTTGGTGCAGCATGGACTTCTGGATGCTTCTTCCACTTGGATATCAAATTTACCCAATGAAAGCTTCGGTTTCATACTTGCTGATAAAGGATTTGATGTGTGGCTCGGAAATGTCCGTGGTAATACATATGGTAGACATCATGTCAATCTTTCTGTGGATTCTGATGCTTTTTGGGATTTTAGGTAAGATGTTCTTCCCGATATGATGTGTGATGTGTTTGAACTTGTAGGATTTATAATTATTCAGGGTAAACTGTAAGTTTCCTGAATTAAAATTTGTGGATGACATGTTGTTTTAGACCTTAAAAGTCGTCATATCTGAGCCTAGGACTGAAATGTTATGACAAATAGCATTAATCCATGGCCAGTGTGAAGGAATGAGAAACAAAACAGTGGTATTTATTTGCAGATTTAATATACAGACACACTGAAAACATTCTGTGAAAAAAAAATTAATTAATCAATTTAAAAAAACCCAGCAAATTATTTCAACTTGTAGAGAATCAGGAAATAATCAATAATGTTAGTCCAGAGCTAAAAAGAGACCAGCCTTTGGATATGATTTATTTCCTTCATTTCCTAAGGAAGCACAGGAAGTAATTGGGTGAAATAGGTTGATATGGAAATTAAAGGTCAAGCAAAGGTACCAAATTTAGTGTGTTAAGAATTAAGTTTCAGGCTAGCTTGATAGAGACACGGAAGAATTAGGATGGTATTAGTAGTGTCACCTTTAGTTAGTGTTTCACCTCAGTGTGTTCACCTCACTGTATTAACCCCTAATGCATTTTCTCAAATCCATTTTTCTTGCACTTTGCAGCTTTGATGAAATGGCCAAGTATGAACTCCCCTCTGCAGTCAACTTCATCCTCAACAAAACCGGGCAGACAACTCTGTATTATGCTGGTCATTCACAAGGAAGCCTCATGGCTTTCGCAGAGTTATCAAGAAACCATGATTTGGCTAAGAAAATAAAGGCTGTGTTTGCACTCGGACCTGTTGCTTATTTAGGTCATATGAAGAGTCCTCTTAAACTTTTGGCTGATTATGTTCCAGAACTTGAGGTATGTAGTTTAAATTCAATCTAACTGGAATTAAGTTATGGGTCTGACATCTCAATGTCCCTCAATTTCTTGAAACTGTTAGACAATTTTCTGAGTACTTGATTTGTTCAAACTTCCTTAGAAAACCAAGCAACATTCTAAGGAAGTTTCATGCAATCAACTCTGTAAAAAGCATATAATCATGTTCTTTATTATAACATAATCATAATGGTTATATTGTTTTATGTTATTTGCAGGATCTTTTTATGATATTTGGAGTCCGTGACTTTCTCCCTTCCAATGATTTTGTACACTGGATGGCAACAAATGTTTGTGAGCCACCTGAGCTGCGGCTGATTTGTTCAAGTGTGATCTTTCTCTTATGTGGCTTTGATGTACCACAGTTGAATTTGGTAAAATATAACCAGTAGTCTGTTTTTATCTTAAATCTGTGAAGCATGTTTCTGCTACACACTAAGAGGTAAAAGAAGGATTAAGCTTGGACATAAGTCAACTACTAGATTATGTCCCAGTTTCTGTAGTTTATAGTAATTTTGCTATTCCTCCCAGGGTTTGAGCTAGGATTTGACTATTTAGGGTCAATTTGTCCCTTTAGATTATTTTTGGGGGGACATTTTCCATTTCTGAGGGTCGCTTAAGCATAGGGAAAATTTCAAACTGAACTAAAATTTTAAACATTTAATGAAATAGCAACAAGTTACATTGTAATATGGCATGCTTCTTTTTATCTTTCTCTGTAAACTCTTAACCATTCACCAGAGCGTGGCGAGAGCATGAAATGCTTTGGGGACAATTTCGGGGGAAAAAGCCGCAATTTTGAACATTTTGTCAAAGTATCCAGAATTGGATGAAACACTACTAAAGTGGTTTTGGGAGAAGAAGAGTCAGGATAAGTTTAAAAGTCTTTTATTTTGAATCAACGCTTTACTCAGCCGATTTCTGTCAGATCGTGTTGCAATGTTTACACAAGCCGTGGGAATGACTGCTTCTGATCGGTCAGTTTCAGATGTTGTCAAAATGAGACAAAACAAACATCTAAATCTTGCTTCTCTTATCTTTCACAAAAATTGCTGTTAGCGTATTAATTCTGCGGCTAAAACCAAATTGTTTATTGAAAAATCGTGCCGTTTATAGTCGAATTTATGTTGAATTTCAACTCTTGCAATTTTTTTTTTGGGCACAAATACTTCAGTAAAAATCTGTCGCAAAAATCGCTCGCTTTTTTAAGGGACAAATTGACCCCTGAATCATTTTTGGACGGGACATTTTAAATTTTATTGCGGGATTGGCGCAATGGCGCGGCCTGGCTCAAACCCTGCCTCCCTAGATGTACTTTCAGGAAACTTTTGGGCTTTTTTTACATTACCTTAATATCTGTTTAATTTACCTATACCCATTTCAACAATTAAGTGGAGAGGACCTATGAAAGTCAATTGTCTTACCTAACAGCATAACATAATTACCTCTGCTGTGGTCTGAACTAGCATCTTCAGTTCTAGAGTCCAGATTGCTAATGTATGGGCTGCCTATCCTAACTATCCACTGTACAGAAGTAATCAATGATCATTTTGACATTCATATTTGTAGACACGCCTTCCAGTTTATGTGTCACACACTCCTGCTGGAACATCTGTCAAGAATTTAGTACATTTCAACCAGGTAGGAAAAACCCTCTTGCCACCATGTATTTGCAAAACCATATTTTATTTTTGATGTGATGCTGATTTTTTTTTCTCCTTTTAGCTGTACAAGTCAAGTAAATTCCAAATGTATGACTATGGCAGTCCAGAAAAGAACAAAGAACACTATGGCACTGTAAGTGTAAATATAAATATACATGTACAGCAATTGTGGGTCCTAATTTTAACCCTTGCTACCCTAACATCAAATATGTGTATTCTCCATACTGTTCTCTATACATTTCCTAAGGTGCTGACAAGGAGAATTTGTTAAATAATCGAGAGCTTCAACTATAGTTGGTGATCATTTCTTATATTGACTCATGGGTGATATTGTAAGGAGAAATTAGATGGGGCCAAAGTGTTCATTTGAATCATAAAAGTTATTGGATCAATATCAGTATCAGGGCAACTACCCACCTACCCCTCCCCTAACTCAACAACAGTCAATTGACAACAATTTAAGGTTAATGTTGGGTTACGGGAGGGGTAGGTTGGCAGTTGCCCAGATACTGATATTGATCCAATTTACCCACAGCTCCTATTTGTAAAAAGAAATTTAACCACATTAAACTTTTCCCTAAACAATCTTTCATGTATTTTCACAACCGAAGCTTTATGTATCTTGTTTTAGTTTAACCATTTTCTACTTTTTCAAAGGCCACTGTTCCTCAGTACAATGCTTCTGCCATCACTGTGCCAGTAGCACTCTACTATGGAGGAAATGATTGGCTAGCAGATCCCAGTGATGTGAAAATCTTGATGCAGAAGCTTAAAAGCAAGTGGTATGATAAATATATTGCACCATGGCAGCATTTAGACTTCACTTGGGGCCTGGATGCCGCATCTGTGGTATATGATGACATCATCAAGAGAATTAATGAGATTGAATATGGACTTTGACCTCTTTTTGTACCAAAAATGTAATTCAGAGTAACTTTTTTTAAAAAAAAAAGAAAAAAATGAAGCTTTGTCACATTTCAGCAAATGATTTATGATAACTCATACTAGCTTTGCTTTCAAAATTTGAATTTGGTATGTGAACGAGTGATTTATTAATATTTTAGTTAAGTTCTTTTGGCTGGTTTCTTATTTCTTCGTGATAAATGAAAAAATTAATATTAGATTTTTTGAAGCTTTATAAGAAAGTTTCATCACATTAAAAAAGATTTACAAATTTGTATTACTAATCATTTCTTTATTAGGGGAAGTATTGCATAATGTTGTAAATCCAAATCTCATGAAATGTCTTCATTTAAAACTTTGAAGTGTTTTACCACTATATGATAATTATGTTCTATAATTATGTAATTTTTTTCATGAACACAAATTAGAGTGTGAAAACAAGGACATAATTGAGAATTAAGTATCTGAGTTTAGGGAAAATATTTTAGAAGTTGAGGTTGAAGAACTTACCTTCTATTTCCTCATTCTTCCCTAGTTACTGTATTTATAGATCACTTCAGTTGCTTCCATTTTTTATAGATACTATTCTTACAATGCTCAATATGAAAAGGTTCTTATTTTTTCATAAATAGATCATTAAATCCTAAGTTAAGTTTTGCGTAATGCTGTCATGAGTTTCCTTAATGTCTTTACTTTCACGAGGTAAATAATACAAAGGGGTGTTCCTTCATTTCTCTACTTTCAATTGGTCTTTCAATATGGAGGTAAAGTTATCTTGACTGCTGTCTTGCTTCCTCACTTTTAAAGGCATTGCTCTGTGAGGTTGAACAACTTGACTTAAAAGGTGAGAGGAAGCTTTTAATAATGAACAGGGAGATTATTCTCAAATAACAACCTTGGAAAGTTTTCAACCAGACCCAATCCAGACAGCTTAACAACTTGGCTTGATAGAGACTTCTCCACAATCTAAACCCCACTTCAAGGCAAAAAAACAAGTTGTCATTCATCTTATTTGGGGCATGGAATAAAGGAAAAAAGATTCAAGTTTCCCATGAAGAACCATGAATATTCAGATTTCACCATCCAACACTCCATCTCATATCATAGAGGTCATGGGTTTAAATCCAAATGAAATTTTTTCAGGCCTTATTTCACCACTGCTCAAGTAGTGTTCATTGCTGCAAAGATTGCTTTCATATTCACGTCTTTATCTGTAGTTCAAATGTATGACTTTTATATATCCACAGTTGTTTACTTTACCTCATGTAGCTTGATTGCTACAAAGGCTCACTGGTCAGCTGATAAATATGCTACATTAAATTGTGACAAACATAGGCTTATTGTTGAGGATCACCTAACTTGTGGCTAGGCAAATTAACATATTAGACTTGATAAATCAAGGTCTACAGTTCGTCTAGAAAAGAAACAGTTATTCTGTAGGTCTATGCCTTGGTATTCATTGTATCTTTGTGTGAACCTCTCCAGCTACGAGCAAGAATCGTAAATCACAATCAGATGCAAAACACCCATTATACAGTAGCAATCATTATAACAAGTAATATCCGATCATGGCACCAGTTTCTTAAACCCAGTATGCAGTTGCATTATGAAATATTAATACGTCTCTGCATTGTAGGGTTGTGATTGGTCTTTCTATTTCTGTGCACATTTGTCTCTGCATGAGAGGTGTGAGATTGGTCTTTCTATTTTTGTGCACAATTGCCTCTGCATGTTAGGTGTGGGATTGGTCTTTCTATTTCTGTGCACATTTATGTCTCAGCATGATAGATGTGAGATTGGTCTTTCTATTTCTGTGCACAATTATGTCTCTGCTTAGTAGGGTTGTGATTGGTCTATTTCTGTGCACTTATTTTAAGTGGCCATAAGCCCTTGCAGAGATAACAAAAGAAACTTTCCTACTCACACAACTCTCTGTTGTGTGAGTAGGAAATAAAGATACTTCTTGTGTCAAAAGGTAACATTTTTAGGTCAAGTTAACAGTGCAAGATTCAAGAACACATTTTGATACTTAAAGTTCTGAACTTAAATAGGAATGAAATGCTTTCAGAGCTGACTAGGTGTCATCATCCCTGGATACGTAGCTAATTGGATAATAAACAAACAACACCAAAACTTTACAACTTAACATTAATTTTATTAGAGGGGGGAAAAGACCAAATTACAGTAAAGTTTCAACAACTGTGATGGTGTGCATCTCTTGAATACAGGGACAAGTTTTATTTAGAGTACAGCTTTTGTTACATGCATTGATATTTGAAAGGAAAACTTTACGATTCCTGACTGAGTAACACGTTAACTGGAAATAAAAATGTTTAGTTTAGCAGCTATAACCCTTTAAAACAAAAAGAAGGTGAAATTGTAATGTTCCATTGGTTTGTGAGAGATCTTCTCTTGACCTTCTCATAAGTATACACGATCATGTTATATATAAAAGCTTTGCAATCATCCTGAGGAAGCAAACGTTGAAAAAAAGTTTAAGGAAGACCTCCACCACTAGCACACCTTGTTGGTAATTTGACAATTAATTTTAGGCTCCAAAATAGCAAAGCAAGGACAAACTGGTGAATAACATCAGTCTTCCAAAGTCTGAATGTTACGCTCAGCCCATTTTGAATTTTTTGACTCTTCATGTCAGCTATATTTATCTTCACTCACCATGAATAGAATAGCCACTGAAATGACAGCAAAAATGACATGCATGTAACATAATCCAAAATGGCATTAAATGGGAAATTCACTATTCAAGATAGTTCTTATTTGTTTTCATATTTTTACAAATGCCAATGCTAATAATTTTAAAAATCTTCCACCAACATGATGCAGTGGTGGAGATTTTCTCATGCCTGCTTAAAACAAAAAGATTTCTAAGGAATCTTGCAAGGAAGATAACTCTTTAAAGGATAAAAAATTACTATGTACATCACTTTGCTTGTCCTTTTGATAATAACACTCTCCTCTTATCATAAGACAAAAAAGCACCTGTAGTAATTCAGTACTACAAAACATTTCTTCAAAGCATTATCCCCAGATTTGAACACTACTCAGCTGATATACATTTCTGCATTGTTTCCATTTTCTTTAAAAAAAGGTCAAAGGAAAATTCAAAAGTTTAGAATTCTGATGCTAACTTGAGATTTTCAATCCTCCATAACTGAATTTCCTATAGCACACAATACTATATCATAAGACTGCCCAACTAAAAAATATGACAAAAAGAATTAAGAAAAATACAGTTGCAGGTACAGAGAGACCAAGCCCATAAGTAAGGAAGGCTAAACTTGGTTTATTGAGAAATTTAATACAGACTGGGAAAAAAATTATTTTTGCCAGTATTTTGTGAAAACAAAACTCCTTGAAATTATTACATATAAATGAAATTAACTTATGAAATTAAGTATTTGCAACCATCCCATTCTGTTCAGTTTAAAAACATGAATTCAAATTAATTCAATAGTTCATTTGCTCAAAGCACTTGGAATTTCCCACTTCATAATCCAATCTTGGGTTCTTTGAACTCATTTACAAACACTGCTTTTCACTACAACTTGGTTCTATACCTGAAAATCTGCAGTCAATTAATTTTCATCATCTACCTGAGTGGATAGTAAAGTATTGAAATGAAGTCTTTATTACTCTGAGAAAACATGGCAATTGCAGACCAGCATTAGCTCGCAGTATGTGTTCCAGTCATGCTTTGAACAACTGAGCTCAACATAAATTTCCTCTCAGAAAAAAATGACATTCAGTTATGGCCTCAAGTGTCACTTTCATTCAGATAACAAAATAAAAAAAAAACTGATGGCCCCCAATGCCATACAATTGACAAAATTCTTTGCACGTACAAAGATATCCTAGAATATGATGTGTCAAGAATTCTAATTAACCTTTGCCTAATTGGATGCAGAGGCCTGCTTACTGAGTAAAGCTCCTTCAGCAAACTTAGCCAGTACTAAAATATTTTACACAGGACATCATCTATAAACATACAAATTTGCCAAAGTTACAAACAATAAACAGAGAAAAATCTAGCCTGGCCCATTGACTAGATTTGTTTGTGTTTCAACCAACTCCTTTAGGGGTGACCTGAAACAACACAAACAAGTTATTGTTAGTTGACTAATTCTGCCTTAATACATGTGTGTCATGACATTGGTTAAGAGGAAGAAATGTCTGCCACTTTACTACTAATAAAGAGAGGGCCTTGAAGTAACATGAAAACAAGTGCCAAAGAATGTATGATGTGAGATTCAAGCATTTCTGGCTGAAAATTTTTCCCATGATTTCTTTTAGAAGTTAGAGGTTAAGTTAACAGTAATAGCAATTTGTAAAATTAATACCTAGAATCCTGATCCAATTTACTTTTCTTTGATAAGCCCTGATGTTCAGTATCCTTAGTACAGTCCACAGGTCCATTGTCCAGTTTGGCACTTGTCATCTGATCATCATGAGCATTATTTACAGCCTACAAAAGATGCATGAAACCACAGGTTATTTTTCCCAAAACTATGATATAATTACAAAATTTATCATTCTCCATTATATACTTTGTGTCACACTAAAATAATTAGGATCCAATAGCTACCTCTTGGTAACACAATGAAGAGTATTCATTCCCTGTATAAAGTTGTTATTAGTAACAACATTTGCAAATTATGCTAATAAATGAACTCCTCTACTTGTCATCATAATCACTCACCATAACCTCTTTGTTTGAGGGGACTACTGCCTCAGTTTGCCTGTCTTGTTCTAACCTAGTGGGTGTCAACAGAAAAGAAATTGAGAGATATTAACATAATATGCAAAATATATAATTTTGATTTGTGGATGTGCCACTGCTAAGTGGCCTGAATCATGCTTGTTATTTTCCTGTCAATCTGCATTTTCAACTTGACTTCCACACTCCAATAAAACACAAGTTTAACATTACATCCCACATGAACCTTGAATGGCCTACAGATAACTACGTTCATAGTGTTTCATCCCTTTGTCTGTCTTGGTAACATGCTACCTTCCCACAAATCCATTTTAATGCATCTCAAAGTACACTTTGCATCTTGCCTAGTGTATTGAAAGTAAAGATTAAATTTCCCATTCAAAAAGCTTCAAGTCTGAGTAAGACCATCTGCTATTCCAAGGAAAAACTAATGTGATAATAAAAATTACATGGTATGTTATTTAGTACCATTGATACCTCAATATTGTTCTTGAAAGAACTCATCCTGTTATATCTGGTTATAAACAAAGTAGCGAAAACATAACTCCCTTCTAACTCACCTGGAAAATACTTCCTCACATTTCACGCCAGCAGTTTCTTCATCTGAGATGTCATCATCACTATCATTTGTTGCTAGTGGAGCTGAATTGTCAATTGACTGACCCTCACACCTAAACGAAAAATAAAAGTTTGTATATACAACCAGACAATTTTCCTTTTTCCCACAGCAGTAAACCTTCCTTGTAATCATCAGCAGTCACCAGGAAGACAGCCTGCCAACAAGATTAACAACCAAGCAAGGTCATGGATACCTTCTACTACTGCTCTGCATTTACAATCCAAATATTTTCCAATGGAAGTTAGCCTTAATTCATTTTGTCATGGTTTGCATAGAAAGAAGGGTTTTAAGCACCTGCTGTCTCCCAAAGTCCCTGCTTATTTTGATAGCTGGATACAATCAGATATAAGTTTGATTACTTCAAGGATTGAAGGATTCAAGTAATTTGGTTTACATCTGAGTCTTGCTAACCTGTAACGAGCTGCTCTATCCTGAACTGGTGAGGGCTCTGCCTTTCTCGTAGACTCATCACCATCTGCATCTGTTAGGACTCCAAGAGCTTCAGCACTGGACACTAGGCCGTGTGTTCTACACAAAAATGGAAAAATGCCTGGTTTCAACATGACTGACTGCCAAGAATTCAGTGAGACAGTCATACAGGTACAAACAAAATGACTGGCACAACATATAAGTAAAAAACTACACAAACACCAATTAACTTTGAAAATTTACAGGAAAACAACATGTTTATGAAGATGTTAGAATCTTTGGGGTTATACAGATAATGCATCCTGTTGTCAAAAAGACAAAACTTGCCCATTACATATCCTCAGATCATACCTTAACTCATCTGGCTTGTTTGAAACTGAATCCTCTTTGACTACTACAAGAAAAAATAGGGAAGAAAACTAAGTCTTCACTAACAAGTCTTCACTGTCAAGATCAAAACTGAAATGAAAGTGGACAGGGAACCTGTCCCCTTTTACCTTGATGTGCAACTTAAGAAGCAGGCTGTGCTGCGGTATAAATGTTTAAGAGCAGAAAGACCAGCAAGATGTGTATGGACTACTGTTTAGACTCTGTGTGAAGTGAAAAACAGCACTTACTGTATGCTGCCCCTGCCTGTGCAGGAGCAGGTGGTTCTGTCTCCATTGCAACAGGTGAATCAGCCATTTCCTGTGTTGGTTCACTGATAAAAACACAAATCAATTATTATTTTGTCAAATCTGAAGGAATGTTTTGCAAGCCATCAAGTGTGAAAATCTCACAATTTCAATAAATTGACTGACTGACTGACTTAACGATATAAATTAGTCTTTGTCAAAGGATAGATTGTTATAACATGGTCTGAAGTAACATCTAGAAAGGTCCAAACACAAATTTCCAAAGACATTGAACTGCAGCAAATTTGATCACCAATATACCCAATCAACTATAAAATTGCAGTTTTAAGGAATTTCAACAAGGAAATCTGCAACACAATACCTGTATTGTAAGTCAGAAGATCACATCAAACCTGACAAATTGTAACTTAAAACAGTCCACTTTCAGTTAACAATTCACTGCCTTTTTAAGAAGCAGAACAAACCTGCTAGGAGCCATTCTGATATCAGTAAAACTATCAAATGTTGCCCATCCTGTGTCGTCTGTTGTTGCAGCTGGTGTATCACCCCAGCCAACATCAGAAGCATCCATGGATACAGCTTCATCTATGGCTGCCTCTTCAGGTTCAAATGCAAGAGACCATGCTAAAGGTAAAAAAAAATGTTCCGTAATCATCTCTGTTTTGCTATTAAACCTATATCATCTAAAACTAAACCCTGCTGAAGAGAATATTGCATGCTCTTGTTTGTTGTAGTTCTGACTATTCTTTAATCAATTTAAGTGGCCCAGTGGCATAGCCATAGCTTGGTAACATGAGCCATTTCCTTATACCATGTAATGCCTCTATTGGCCCAAAAAACTGTCAGAATGATACTACATAACTTTAGATGAACTAGTGTTTCGAAATTTCTCGCTGTTTCATGCTACAGTAACAAGTGAAAAGCTTCATGAGTCATGGGAAAAAGTGTTATAAGACCAATGCATCAGTACTCAAACCATGACCAAATTAAATGACACCAAATTATTTCACAAAATTACATCAACTACAGATATCTTTGCATGAAGAGTCAAGTATCTTCACACAATTTTACTGCCCACAATCACTGATATAAAATGTCCCCACATTACTTGTTGTTAATTCTCTTTACACTAATTGCTTACCATCACTGGGATCTACATCCATTTTATTATCTGTAGCTGCAGGAGGTTGTTTTACTGGTGATCCCTGAGGGCTGCTGCCACTTTCAAAAGGTACATTGGGACCTTTAGGAGCAGGTGACTCTAAATCTTCATCACTATCACTACTCTCACTTTCATTTCCTCCCTCTGGTGACAGGGTACTGCATTAAAATAACAATCAATCTTAGATTTTCAGCAAATAGTAGCTAGTATATAATAAGATCAGAGTGTATATTTCTATAAGTGCATTTACCTATGTCTTGACTCAGCAATGGATGAAAAGGTAAGTTCTTTTTCCTCCCAAACATCCTAAAAGATATAAATAAAAAGTATTATTGGAATCACTTTGGGTCACATAACATAAACAGGAAAAAGATATATCTCAAGGGAACAAGACAAAACACAAAGGAGTTGTAAAGGAATTGCAAATTATACTGTCCTTACCTCTTCATCACTTCCACTGTCATCAAACTGTTGAATTTTTTCATTACAACATGCTTCAAATAATGAAGCATTGGGCTGTAAAGAGTGTCAAAAACACCTTTAAATAACAACTACAGTAGAATACAATTTATGTATGTTTTCAAACAATCCTGTTATTGATTTTTTTACTCTTAAGGCTAATTCGACAAAAAATAATACCTGACTTCTTCTGCCTGAATACAATGACTGTAAGCATTTTGTGATCCTATGTTTTGCAAAGCCCTCGTAAATCTTTACCCAGGCTAATACTTCACTAATCAAATTACACTCAGTTAAAAAAAAAAACCTCTCAGGTCTTAAACCCCAAAGCACTAGAACTCTCCTAAGAAGTATAAACCCATGATAGCCTTGTGAAAACCAAGATCAGGACCTCCATATTTAGTTCTATAATTACAAATACTCAATGATGCAAAAAAAGATTAGTTAAAACATTGTACTTTCATATATTTCCCTCAGAGAAAAAAAATGGCATGCAACTCACATTATCTTCCTGAGCATTTACAGTAAAACTAATGTCCCCTATTCTGTCAAATGGTCCCCTGTAAGAGAGCAACAAAACAGCAAAATAAAACAATTATAACTGAGCAGAGTACATTACTTTCTGTAAACTAAAAGGAATAAGTTTTCAATACTTACGTGATTGATTCATCTGGTTCTTGGAACTCATCCTCATCCAGACCAAATGTATCCATGAATTCTGTTGTAATCTGCTGCATCTGATATCTTGAAAATGCCTGCAACAAAAAGTACATATTAACTTTCAACTTTCAAAAATTTACTTCCCAATAGTACACATGCATGTTTAGGTACATTTCTTCCTTAAGGAGGTTCCGTAGGGTTTTTTGACCGCATGAGATCTGGGTGCAAACATGGCACAAGCTTTTAAAGTGTCAACATGCGAAACAAACATATACGCTCAATGTGATTGCATGATTGCTATCTAAGATGTGTTAAAAACAGTTTTTATGTGATGGAATCTAGGATATCCAGCAACTGCACCCGAAATATTCATAGGCCTTCTTTGCCTGAAAAAGGTCAACTGAAAAGAAAACACCCTTGGAAAGATTGCCAAAAGGCAACAAATTCAAAGTCTATGCATGCTCAGATACTGATCTTGGCAAAGTTCTATTCCATTATGAAATGTTTGTGAAAAAAAATAGGGATCTTTTGTGTAAGATTTATCACATTTCCTATGGTGGAATTTCCAAAGAATTTCTAGATTAAACATATTTGTGCCCTTCCTAATGCCTGTCAATTAAAAAAATTCATAAGACCAAATTTGAAATAGAGGAAGAAAACACAAAATTGCAAATAGTGAAGAAACAGCCTTAGTTTGTAACCCCAATTTTTTGGGGCTTTTAAATGATCAGCAGGACAATTTTCACAAATTGTGAAAAATTTGAGAGATTTCACTGATGCAAATTGAAGAAAATCAAAGGCAAAGCCAAATTATCCCTGGTGAGCGCCTCCCTTTGTTGAGCCTTAGCTTAATAAAGAAAATCATTTTGATAATATTTACAGCAAACGATTCCTTGCTCATTGCCTTTTAATGGCTTTTAGTGACCTTAAAAAGCAAAAACAAAAATTTTCTATAAAAATATTACATTGGTGCACATGCCAACATTGAGCAAAAACCCTATGGAGCCTCCTTAAATGTGACTCGCTAATTTTAACAATATTTTAATACAGTGTACTGTGTTTCCTGTATGAGACATGCGGATAGCTTCTTTCAAAAATTGTTCATTATTTCAAATCTCAAACTTTTGATCACAAACTGTTTTCAGCACAAGCTGTGTGACTGTCATTAGCATTCCTACCTGCTGAAGAGAGTGTTCCGTGTGTAAAAAGGACATGGGCTTGAAATCATCGTCATCATCTGAGGAAGACTGAAAATGATGTCCAACCTTGGAGAAACAATATGAAAAAAATGGGAATATTGAGGAAGACTGAACCACACAACTGTTTGAGTAAAATTTCTGTAGAAAGAAGTTCTTTCAAACAATGTTCTTTTAGAAGAAAAATGATACCCATTCATGATGACCACTAAAAATGTCAACTCATAAAAACAAAGAATTTTGTTATGCCAAGAAGTTGGTGGGGAGGGGTAGGAAGGGAGAGGGGGTTGTTAAAATGGACCCAACACAATACAAAAACACACAGTAAAAATTACCCAATGGTATGCACACAAAACAAGTAAACAACTTAATGAATGAAAGTTTAAAATAAATGTAATCTCTCACTTTAAGAAACACAACATAACTGACATGGGTTAATAGTGAAAATAGCTTGACAAGAACTTTGGAGGTCAACAAATTTATGGAAATCACAAAATTGTCCCGATAATAAAATTTTGAATGCCTCATAATCCTTGAGAGGAAACAACTCACCAATTCTGACATGTTCTGTTTGTTGACATTTGCTAACTTTCCACTCACAAATGCATTCCATTTTTCACGCACTTTTTCAGGCAAGTCTAATTAAATAAGAGGAGTGAAGTACATAAGTTAGGATATAACAGCTAAGTCAATCTAATGTAGTGGTTGATGAATTCTACACAAGGTGTTGAAAATTGTGTGAATGACATACCAGCAAAAATTGTATCAAGAGCAGCTTTGTTTTTCCCTTTCTCTAGACTTTGAACAAGACTGTTTGCCACATTTGTTAAATGACCCATGTATCCTTTCCTTTGGTTGGTCTGACTTCTGTATAAAATAGACAAAGCAATGCACCCATACATGTTTTCTTGTAAACTCAATTTTCATAGAAAAAAAAATTGTGTGAAAGCAACTATTTCAGAATGCAAAATGCAGTTTTGTGAAAAGAAATTTCAATATAAGCAAAATGAAACTTTGAGTTGAAAATCTAGGGTGATGTTTCCTGATGGATCCATTTAAAGTTTAGGTTATACTAAAACCAATAACTACCAGGTGATGGTCAAAGTGTACATAAAAACAAACAGTCCTTGACACTATATGTAACCTGAAAACTACTGCCTCCAAGAAAGTTCTTCTAATTAAAAGTTGAGCTCATACTTGTCTCAGGAAAGTCAAAGATCACATCCCTGGATTTTAAGGGAGAGATTCCCAAAAATATATTGAAAGAAAGTTATTTGGGTAAAAAAAGTTATTTCAACTTTGATATTGGAAAGATTGGAATTCACAATTGTCTCTGCGATCAATTGCTTGTCGAAGCATTTGACTTAGGCAAAAGATTGACTTGTTCACCATTCACAAAACATCATGTTTGGCTTAATTAACACCAACAAATAATTGCTCAGTGCCCTTACGTATCTGAATCATGATCCTCCCATTCCTGCAGTATCCTTTGAATAATTTTACAATCTTTAAATAACTGGAAAAACAAAAAGAGACAAAAATGGCAGTGCCAATGAAACAGAATGTGTTTACTATAGTACAAAACAAGCTCAAAATCATAAAGTTGTGCTACTGTCACTGAAATTGAAGCACCACTTACAACATCAACTAAAGGAGTACTCTGTTCCCCATCTTCCTCAGTAGGGGGATTGTTTAATACTGTAGTTATACACTTCCCCACTTGAGTGTGGAGGAAATTGTTCCATGAATACTTGAAAAATAACTCCTGCAGAACAAACAAAATACTAACATTGCTGTTAAAAGCCTTAAAAAGAAGTAAACACTAGTATAATCAAGAGACAAAGATGAGTTACTTAAGATATCAATTATGAATGAACTCTATTGGATTACAGAATACATACCCATAAAACTTGTAATGTTCCTAGATTAGCTAGTTCAGCATTAATTGTATCACTATTAGTGGCTAAGATAGCAGCGATCAGCTTGGAGGTTTGAAGTCGAGCATTTCCAAGTGGAGGATCTAATGTTCCAACAGTGGTAAGCATTGGTTTCATCTGACAAAAGAAGAAGCCAACAATGATATTCATCACATGTTTATGTTGCAGTAGTTGAACAAGAAAAGGCATATACAATAAATCAAAAAGGAGAAAAAGAATGCAGCTTACCGGAGGAGGATCTTCTAGAAGCTGATGAAAATCTTTAAGTCTGGGTGTGAGAGCAGCTAATGTAGCACTGACACCTGAAAAATAAATCAACAACAGCAAACAGAAGTAAATAAAACATTCCAAGAGATATATCTTTACTACACATTTCTAACCTATCAGTACTTCTTAAATTATCATTTGAAACGCAACTTTTGTCAAGAAAAAAGATCACAAAATTAAGTTAGCTTTGTTCTCTTACCTTGTGCAAGTCTCTCAGCATCCAAAGCAGTCATTGGTTCTTCACCTTCCCCACTGAAATAAGCATCAAAACATGCAAATTTAAAATTATCAAAATTGTTTTGTTTAAAGTACATCTAAAGATAACGTTTCAATTAAAATATGTGGAACAATGCATGATATATATTTGTAATCAAACCTTCCTTTCCTGACTTCCAAGAGTGTGAGTAAAACAGATATTCCATTGACCAGTGCAACATCAGGGTGAAGCTTGGCATCCCGAAGCATGTGATCCAATAACTCTGATACAGTCTCTCTCCTAAATAGAACATATCAAATCAATTAAAAATCACAACAACAAAAAAAAAATCTTACAAATTGAGAGTTTATTTCTTCAAAATGAAAATGCTAGGTAAGTGGAACAAAGGATCACAGTATCTCTAGAGAACATATCTAGAGAACATTTGGAGAAATAAAAGTTATATTATAATGGCTGACAACTGGCAACCATTTATAACCTGACATCATTATCCATATTCTCAATACTGTTCTCTATACATTTCCTAAGGTGCTGGCAAGGAGAATTTGTTTAACAATCCAGAGCCTCTACAGCTGGTGATCATTTTCTTTGTTCTCATCACCTTAATGTTTGATTCAGGGGTGATATTGTAAGGAAGAAAATATATGCTAGTCACTCGTTGGGATCAAAAGGTTAAAACTGATCAATAATTTCAGGCCCATTGCCCAAACCCGTGTACTCTTCACACCATTCAGGAAGTAACCATAAAAATCAACACACCACCTGAGCATACCTTTGAATTGCATCTAGTAAGGGATCTTGATCAGCATTCTCTTGGAGCTGTGACATGTGATCTCTGCTAAGTCTGATTATATCACACAGGCTTTGTGCTGCATTGCAACATCTCTGCAAAAATAGGAGTCCTCTCAGTAAACATTTTTACAAATTAACAAAATTTCATTCAATTTCAAATGGGTTCAGGTAAAAGTAGTTGAACTACCAACCTCTTCATCATTTCCTGGATCTATTAATGAGACCAAACTCTCCACAAGTTTTTGACTATTCAACCACTATAGAACAAAAATTATCAAAACATGGTAAAGAAGAAGAGGAATCCTTTACAAGGAGACTGCACAAGCAGTTTAAAATTTTAACTGAGAATTTCTGCAGAAACCCAATTTTGGAATCAAGGCTAGACCACAACAAAGTGAGCTATATTCTCTACTCTTTGCAAGAAGTGCATAGGCTCTTTAATGTCCCCTGCTAGCCAGTACAGAGATGACGCAGACAGGGTCTACAGTTTATTGTCCTAGTTTAAGAAGACTGGTAAGAATATCTAGCCATTTGTGGATGTCATAACAAAGACACTACCTTCTCCTCATTATTTTCAAGACCCTTGAGTGCAGGTTTAGTCTTAGGCTTGGGCCCTCAGCCTCCAGCATTAAACAACCTGAGCTAACCAAGCAAATAAGCCAAGAAAATAAAAAGAAGAAACTCTACCTCAAGCAGGTCTTGTCGTAGTTGTGGTGATTCAACATTGGTTATCAATCGTAGAAGTAAATCCATAACAGCAGATGTACCAAGATGTTTCACAATGGCATTCACAAAATCTTCCTTACTTTTAAAGTACTCTAACATCTTAAAATAAATAATAAAAAGATATTTAAACAATAACAATTCTAGTCAGGTGAAAAATATCCTTCAATACAAGTCTAACAAATTCTAAAAACCACTTGAATTGTTGGAGAGGAAAGCTTACTTACCAAAGATGTCTTCCTACTTATAAGAACTACCATAACTTTGCTGAAGAAACTGGAAGAGAAACACAAAATATCACAAGTTAAAAAAGGTTAAATGGAAACATGGAAGGTCTCAAAACTTCTTCATTAGCAAAAACATTGCTTGACAAGCTGATGTGAATTCAGATACACCTTCCAAACTTAATTTCACTCATGAAATTTAGGGGCCAATTTGAAGAAGACCTACACCCATGTAAAGGAATCATCACTGAAACCATAACTTGCAGAGCAAACATAATTTGGCGAGTGAGTACTCAGTATTTTCTTAGGGAAAATTATGGCTGCCATCTTTGACTTTAATGGCAACGGAAAGTTGGGGAGAAAAAGAAATTTGTACCAAGGGGGTGGTCGACGGTCAAACATGAGGAGAGGGGTGGGGGTGGGGGGAGTGAAGATTATGCCTGCCCAGAAAGTAATTGTTATTTTGCAAAACTCTGTTTGCCCACTAGCAGATTTCCTGATTGGTGAGGTTAAGCTCCAGCTCTCTATCACAAGCCAAATGTGTCAATATTATCAGTATCCATATTACAATATTATCAGAAAAAAATTCTTAAAAAGGAAAATTCTTACCTAGCTAGTAAGGGATTGAGTGGAGGTTCAGATTCCATGAATGACCAGATTTTATTTAAAAGGTCCTGAAAATGATTTAAGAACAATGCAATTTACATTCACCATCCCAAGGAAAAGATGAAATATAAAATGGCAAAGATGTCTGAAAATTTGTTAATTACAACTAATATTAATTTAATGGACATGTGTCACTTCTGGCAAAAACTGAGAAGTGTAACACATGCATAGCTTATTTTAAATCTATATTTTGTCTTTAAGTGCATAAGAAGGTGAGTGACTAATTCTTGTGGTATGTAAAAAATTTCCTTCCTATTTAAAAGAAAAAAGCTCTTTATCCTTCAAAGTGCATACATACCCTAGCAAGTTTCATACCTCATTGCTTGTTAACTTATCAATGATTGCATACACATCAGCTGTCAAAACTTCACAAGCAGTGTTAGGATGTCTGCAAAAGAGCAATTTGTGTCAAAAAATGAGTCAAAGTTATCAAACAAATGACAAAAAACCAACCACAAACCAGTGTGTCAAGACTTCCCTATATAAACTGGTACAAACAACCTTACCAATGAACAAATTCAATGATACCATCAATTCATTCACATATTTTCTTTAGAATTGCTATTTATGCAATAGTGGACTTTTTCTATGTTTATGTTGCCTAAATTAAACATGAGGAGGTTGGGAGAATTCAGAAACAATTATACAAACTGAAGATGTAGTCAAGGGTTTGTAGAATTTTCAAGAATTCTACTTAACTCTAAGTGTTTAGACGAGGCTATGTAAACACAGGAAAATCCTATTCTGTTCTCATAAAATAATTCAGAAAGTATAGAAAGCATGATGTCCCAGTTGTGTTTACATTCACACCTATCAGTTAATGAGGGCACATGTATTATCTTGAACATTTTACAAAAAATATCAAGAAATTTACCAGAATAATAACACAGCATGGTGACATAGCTCCCTATCAAGAGGGAAGTGCTGATGATGCCTACTTACTTGTATCTCACACTTTCATCTTTACTGTCATCTGGTTGTTGTAAAACATAGTCAACTAGCTCCTCCAAAATATCTGGTCTAGTAAAACTGGGCAATAAAGATAAAGAATGAGTAATGTAGGGGTTACCTCACCTTGCCTTCAGTGTATGTCACACAAAAATAAAATGAACATCAGTGGCCATTTAACTTGCATGGCCATTTTCTTTACAGGAAAGGTTGCCTGGTGCATCACTGATAACATATGGTTTTAGAAGGTATTTTACTCAAGTAAATCAGTTTATACTCCTTCACTTCAAAAAAATCCATTACTTTCCAGGTCATAAGAAGGACATTGTAAAATTCCAGGACTTCGTGGGTTTTACAAGATCTGAGAGCCCCATTCCTTTACCAATTTTTTTTCTTCAATGAAAACCAGCTAACCATGTGAAAAGAAAATAAACCAAACCCAAATTTGCAGTATCCATTTCACATACTGACTTCAAATTTACAATCTCGTTAATAGTGCTACTATCTGAGTATTTCCATTTATAAGATTCCCATTTAAAATGACCCCTTCATTTTTTTTTTTCCCCTTCACTTTTTGAGACTAGTGCACTGATATGAAGTAACATAAAAATGTTGAAAAATAAGGAAGATTTATGTCTCCTACACTGAGCCCCTTTAAAGCTTCCAAATTACATGCCACTGTACATATTACAATGAATCACTCAGATGAAATGATCTAGACATCCCGTAGGGCTGCTGGAGAGTAATTTAAGGTGTTTCTCTCTTTTTATTTTATACTATTTTTCATTTACAGTATCACTATACTGTTAATTCTAGCTGATTTCGAATCTATAACAAAATTTACATCTGAAGACCTCCAAGCAGTCATACCTTGAAGATGTACCTTACAGCATATATGAAACCTCAAGTTCACAGAATCTTATCATTGTGGTTCAGGAATTTTCGTAACATTTTTTACTAGAGTACACCTCTCACTCTTCTCAATACTTTCTGCTTTTGAAACAGTCTCACAAGATCATATTCAAAATTACATTGGATGATGAACCTAAACATTTTGAACTGGCACTTTCTAATCAAGGTTATCAGTCTGTTTTTACAATTTTTCTTAATTCCTTTTTGGCATCCTCTTTGTCAAATTGTACATTTAGGCAAAGCTTTGACCAAGTAAGAAAACAGATAAAATGCAAAAGCGACAATACCCACAGGTTCTACAGCACAGAGTGCAAGACTAAAACCTTTTCACTTTCATAAGGCACATTTTAGACTAGAACAGTGAACTAAACATTTTGAAAGTAAGCCTCTGGGCACATTGAAATGTTTACCTTTGCAATTCACCATTTCTACACAGATGAATGCAAAATGTTAACAGATCCTTTGCTTAGAAAATGGAAAAATCTCTTCTTTCTATGAGCATTAAATTAATGTTTTCGTGAAACACTGCATACAAAAGAATTCAAATAAAACAGCAAGGCTCAAAAAATCAAAGGTATCCAAAAGAAAAGAAATGCATTCTGTGTGAGGTAAATGAAAAATAAACACTCCCACACATCATGCCAGCACAAAATTTCTTCACAACACTACAGGAAGATTCAGGAAGCTACTGCGTAGAATATCGACGGTTTTTTTTTCTACGACCATGAAGAAAGTCGTAATCGATAAGCCAATTGAGATGCCTGACAACGAGTACACATTTCTAATGATTTCCTGGGTCCGTATAAAGACGTAATCAAAGGTTTGCTATTTATAGTACACTAACTCCGCACTTTCATCTTAACCTCACAAATTTGGATATGATATTCTTTCCTCCATCCCTAATGACGTTAATCGATGATTTTCATAGGTCAACAATTGTTTCACTTCCCGTGCAAATTTATATCTGAAGCAATTATTTCAAAAAGAGACGTTTGACATAGTTGAGAAAACGTCACTATCATATAACTATTTAATGCTCATTCTTCATTGGAATAAACTTAGATCTTTGGTCCGTGAGCAGCGTTTAAAGTCGATTTATGAAACCTAGACGGACTTGAACTCTTTTTGAGCAAACAAGTCTGAGTTGTCTACGATGCAAAGAGATGTCCTACTTACAAGTCGACCAACTTTCTATTCTGCGATTTTGTCTCTTGCAACACATCATCTTCGTCCAATATTTCGCTCAAAGTACAGTCCTAGAAAAGAACGATTTCAACAAGTAATAGAATGTCACACAGAATAAAAAAAATTTTCTCGAGCTGATTGCAAAACGAATGCATACAAAAATCAAACTCACCTCTCTCGTCAACATCGTGTCTATAGCAGAGCTTGGGTGCAAATCGAATTTCCAAAACATTTTGAGTCCGTGTATTAAATACTCCTCTAAAACTGTGGAAAAGTAGGTATCGTGAAGAGCAAATCAAGCTAGGATACAGGTCTTTGAATCAGAGTTAAGAAATGTAGAAATCGGAATATTTCTTGCTCGAGCCCATCCACAAAGTTCTGTAGCGACTTTCGTTTTATACCTCTGAGATGGCCGTAAACCAAGATGGCGGCTTTGCACTCTTTCAGTTGGATTTAATCGCCATAATTCTCGTTAATGAAGAACCTTACTTTCTCAATTTATTAACAACGTTGCACAATAAAAACCAAAAGTACAGAAGAACATGAAATCCACCACTATTTCCAAGATGCTGTTGGCTGTCGTGACCACATGCGCTCAAAATACTTTTCACAAAACATGAACTGACAATTTTCAGCCACCATTAATGTGCTGGAAATGACAGGCACGTTTTCACGTCTGGAGGAACGTAAATCAACAGAAACGTTCCGAAAGTCTAACGGCGGGAAACGAGTTCACTCAGCTTTACAAATGGAGAAAGAATATAGAAGGAAAATGGTAATAAGTTTTATGGACCATAATATGTTTCACAGTTTTGGGCACGTGACACTGAGATACAAGATGGCCGCCAAAAGTTTGAAAGCGAGGCTAAAGGGACCGGTATCCGGACTGGTTTGAAAGTGAGGCTAAAGGGACCGGTAGCCGGACTGGCATCTTCAGAAGCAAAAAAAAGGTCGCCAGCAAGCCCATTACAAGAATTTGCTCTTTGCAGGAGTTGTTCTGGAAAAGGAATGACACATGGCACAGTGGATATTTAGTTAATTCGTGTCATAGCAAATTCCTCGGCTACAAGAATGTCAGGTGTGTCTGAGCGTTTCTCGCCCAATTTGTTAACCTTCTCTGGTGTTTTACTACTCTGATAAGCTCTCATTTCAGGGTTTTCTTCAATTCAGACTATTCAGACAATTCTCTACAGCGCTACGAATGACTCGAAATATCGTGACATACCATACACAACCATTTTAATTTTTCATCAGCGCGGGAGGAAAACATGCAAGTGGCAAAACTTCGTAATCGTTGAATCACGAAGGATGCCGTAATGCCCGGTCAAAAGGAAAACTTGCAAGAAAAATTATTGATTTGTCTACTAGTTAAAAATTCACAAGTTACTGATTTTGGAGATATGTAAGGAACATATGCGTTCAAATTTACAGAGACAACCGACCGAACATATCTGAGACTCAGAGACTTGGAAACACGTGCGTTTCGTCAAATAATTACAATTTAGGCAAGACAGAAAAAGGAAACAAACATAGGCATTGCAAAAAATTGAAGCTGGAAAAGAAAAGAGTTCAACGCATCAATTTCCACAAAAGAATATTGTTTTTCTCAGGAGGAGTGAACACGCCTAAGAAATTGGTCTCTACTGTGTCTACTAACCCATACAAGACTTGGAAATTGTCATGTTAGCTACTAACATCACTTATGTGCCAGTTTTAACAGGTTTTAAAAGAGAATGTCATTCAAAAACATGAACACAGTTCTCAGTTGGATCAGTGATAAATAACTGTCCTTTCTTCGACATGGCAACAGACCATGGTGTCACATTCAACTGGTCTTCACCATGGACATACTTCCCATCCAGTGTAAATACTTGTAATCGTTTGCTTTCATAGTCACAGACTATCAGGTTGTTATATTTATCGACAGCAAAGCCAAATGGGCCATCTAACCGTCTAGCGTGAGGCCCCTCCATTCCAATGTTACGGCAGAACACTCCTTCCTTATTAAAAACCTTGACACACCCAAGCCCATCGTAGCTCGCAAAAAATCGGTCCTGGTGAAAAATAGCATACCACGGAGCCTCATCACAATCTGGAGTACTGAAACACTTTATCAATTCTGTACCGTCGATGGAGAGGACCTTGATTGAATTGTCGCCATTGTCACACACAACCATTTGATTGTCACATGTAATAGACAATGCCCAAGGAGATTTTAATTGCTCATTGGTAATGTGTGTTATAAAATGACAATCTTCAGAGAATAGTGAAATCTGGCCTGAAGACACGACAGCCAATTCACCAGACCTGGTAAACGCGACAGAGAACGGCTCATGGAATCTGCTAGGGCCGTCTCCTTTCTGACAGAACTCACGCAAAAACTTGCCATCTGAACCAAAAAGTTGAATTCTATTATTTTGGCAATCTGCGACTGCAATATTGCCTGACTTATCGCACACTGCAATATCAAAGGGATCTTCAAACTGTCCTTGAACTTTTCCCCCTGAGCCGAATTTAAACACGTGTCTGTATCGGTGCGGATGTACCCGAATACTCCAGGGGCTACCAGTCAGCGGCTGAGAGTTCACCTCTATCGTCACGCGATGTATTCCTGTACAAGTTGGCGTGAAAGTCACAATATATCTACCGTCTTGCTTGTTGGTGATTGTCTCGTCTATGTCTTCCCCTAACGGTGTCTTGATACTAACGGTAACTGTGTCGTTCTTGTAATAACACACTTTCCCTTCGAAATCTTTTGTTGTTATCACAAAATCGCTTTTTCTACCAACTTCTGCACATTCTAAACCAGCTCCTTCAGCCACTGACTTCAGAGAGTTTGAAGAACTAACAATAACTTGTCCAAGAATCGTTTGCATGATGTTCTGAACAGCTTCATCGTTTGACAAATAACTAACGTGTGATGGCATGCAAACGTTCAATTTACAAGTGTTTAGAAGACCTTTACAACGTTCCACAACGGTCTGATGTGTTTGCAGAATTTCTATGCAGTTGTTTCTCTTCAAAATGTCTTCACAGTGTTGTACACTGTCTTTAAGCTGCGCACTTAACAGTTGATAGCGTTCTTGCTGTAATGCATGACTTTTGTCTTGTTCTTCCTCAATCCTTTCTAAATCTTCCAAAACAGCCTTTTCGTGTTCCCTTACAACCCGAATAACGTCTTCCACACTCTTTCGCACGCAGGTGCGAGCTATTGTGATTTCGTGTCGTACAATGTTCCACAAGTCGGACAACCTTTTCATTCCGTTTTTGCAGGCGTCAATCTTTGTTTTTAGGCGCTGAAGAACATCGAAGACTAGAGCCTTTTGTTCATCAGCGACTTGTTGTATTTTAACGCTAGTGTGATTATAGTGAGGAATAAGTTTGCACTTGTGACAGATACAGATCTCACATTCTCGACAGTAAAATTGAAGTGGTTCGTTCTCATGACATCTTTCTTCACACAAACCAGGACTGTTTGTGTCCCCGATTTCTTCCACCTTTAATTGTTTCATTCCTAAAACAAACAAAACACCATAGTCAGTGCGAAAGTCACAGTGAAGGGAAACTCTTAGCAATACTAATCTTAGATGATTAAGTAGGTGCGGATATGTTTGCATCCAAGTCTGTGATTTTTGTCTCTCCACCCACTTGTCTTAATAACTTCTCTATTTGTTCCACCCTTTCAAATTATTGGTCGCAAAATTAATCTCAATCGCGACTTGGTTACTCGTGTTTTCGGTTTACGAAAGGTTTGGTCTATCAATCCATCAATCTCTTCTTGCAAGTAAAAATCTAGAATTGAGACAAACCTTCGTTATCCAGGTGCACCTTTGGAGTTAAGGTTGGTGATTTTAAATCATCCAGTCTTTTTATGACTATTTCAATCCCATATCCGATTTCATCCAATTTATCTTTCAAGTTATCTTCATCTTTCTTCCACTGACAGAGCAGTTCTTTGTAGTGATCTTCAACCTCAGGGTCCATACACTCAGTTTCAAGATTGTCAATAGCTGCTTTGTATTTCACTCCAGCCAGCCTCACCAGAGTGTCCCGGATGTCGCCCCAGCATGCGTTGAACGTCGCATCATCAACTGAAGCACACTCAGCATGACCATATACAGTGTTCCTGTAATATTTAACTCGGGCAATATCAGCTTCAAGACTCACATCTGTTGCAGCAGGAAGTGTATCCCAGCCTGCTATGGGAGAAGGTAAGCCGCAAAAGTTTCGCAGCAAAACCGTCAAAAGGGTGATATCAAAATCTCTGGAAGACACTGAGGATGGAATAAAAGGATAGAGTTTTCCCCATTGCGTTGCATTTATAATCTTTCTTGTTCTCAGTGACTGTAACTTAGTTTTGTTACTCGCCAAAACTGTGTGAAGATTGGCTGGGGGATGAATGGCATCGAATGTGTCGCGGAGGGCCTGGGTACCAACATCAACCAGCAGACGACACAAGCGAGCGTAGTTGGTAGTCTCCTTAGTAGATGAAACTGACGGTGCTGCGGCAGCCATGAGAACAACCTCCTTAATAAAAATAATGAAATAATAATAAAATAATGAAATAATGATAAAATAATGAAATTGGATTAGTAAGTATTAGGAGTATCACTTCCTTCGCTCAGAAAAACATCACTTTAAAGGCGATAATTTATGGGAGCGGTCAAAAACGATGATTTCGATGGGATCAAGGAGACAAGTAAGCTTTATATCGAATCAAATCTATGATACCTTGTTTAATCTTTTGGAAATTTGGATAACGATTATTTAGGAGAACAAGCCGCGGAGATGAAAAAAACAAACAAACAAACGATAAACGAAAAATCGCTCGGTCGGTGGGTGTGATAATTAACAACTCGTCTCCGAAGTGGAGGTGGGAAGTTGTGGATATTAACCGAGCCGCGGAAACAGTGAGGAAATATGACCTATTATTTAATTTTCAACTCCGAATATTGCATTCCTAGTGTTCTGTTTGGTTCGCTTAACTCCGATTATCAGCTCAAAATTCCAAGTCACTTTATACGAATGCATTGCGCCAAAGCCGAAAAAAGGCTCCAAATATCAAACAATTATTTGAGCATATCTCGAAGATGTGTCTAGGTGAATAGTCGGCATTTTAATCTCACTATAGCCCACTGACACCAGATTTTTGCTACTAACAGTGGGTAACCAAAAAGAGAAACTTTCAGCAAGCATTTCAATATCTTTGTGCTCTCCTTTCCCCCCCCCCCCCTCCCCTCATTTTAGGCTTAAGCTATGGAAAATAGAAGGCGACGTCCGTAAGCCATGTGTAACGCAATAGACCGGAACAAGGATGTTGTTAATCAACCACTGAGGCATTTGGCTCTATTAGATATTCATTGTGCATTACTAGCGATGATTGCCTGTTTCTTTGAAAAAAATACGGTTTCAATTTGGTAATGACCATAACAATTATTTTAATATAAGTGTTATCACATACGAGATCGAAATGAGGTGTAGGTCAAAGCCACTTAAAATTTGACAGAAGCGACGAGTTATCGAGAGTTAACTAAGCTTTCTCTTGGCTCAAGATATTTCATTCGAGGTAAACGCGCTCGTCTTGCATGTCTAATGATTTTCAATAAAATTAAAGGGGTACTAAGATCGCTGATTGATTAAAAAGGGAAATATAAGCCAAACCTTCTTCGTAAGCCTACAGATGTGTGACTATTGAAGGAATTGGAGGTATCACTCTTACCACTCCTGATAGCTGTTATGGATTATGAGAAAAGCTTAACTCTAAGTATAGAAAAATTGAAGTACAAACCTGCGATCTCAGAAAATGTAACAAACGAATCAAAGAGACTATGAGAAGATCAACCCTTTCTTTAGGTCTTCTTGAACTGATGCGGTGACGATATCGAAAATACATCCACGTAGCTCAAGTGTCATTTAAGCTTCGTTCCCAGACTCTCCAAGACATGTTCTATAATTTTCTGTTTTCCAGCGTCACAAAGTGCGTCACGCAACGTAACTTACACAAATCAATGCAAAGATATCCTGTGCTATTTAAAACAGACGGAATCGATCTTTTACAAGTACAGACCTAACAGATAGCCTTTCCACCCTTTGCAAAAATATTTCATGCGCTTTGGTTTAACAATTACATTATTTGGATAATATGGTATAAGAATCCTGATCAGTAACAGCCGATCATGTTTACGTGGAATATATAAATCAGTCTATAGGAGTGCTCTTTTAGTTTTATCCTTTATCCTTTGTTCCTCCTTCCCTCTTATCTCTTACCCCGAGATAAGATAATCCGCCACAAACAACCAACTCAGTCCCATTGAGAGCCGAATTCAAGACAAAATTCGCTGTATAGGTTTAACCTTTTTCCTGTAATATCTTAAGGTATTTTAAAGCATTACCTATTAAAGTTATACCTTACAGCATCTTAAGAAAATATTTTAATAAAAGATTACTCGAAGTCTACGATCAGTCTTTGTACATTTGATCGAATTTCGAAAACTTTGTTGACTAGATCAGCTAGAATATGCCTCCTTTGCTTTGCCTCGCAGCCATGCTGTTCTTGCAAAGATTATTCAGCACAACCTCATTAATACTATTCCCTTAACAGCTGCCTTAAACACTCGCATTTAATTGATTAAAAGTCGATCAATATCGGAAACAATCCACGGTTGAAAAAACACTCGTCTTCCAGTTTTTCTAACCAATTTACTCTCGCCTAAAAACGATTATATATCAAAGACTTTCATGAAAAATGTACCTTAGAATATATCTCCTTATATGAACTTGTGAATTTGATTGATTCAGAAACTTGTATTTACGGTGGCATCATCATCAGTCTATACTTAAAAGGAAATCAATTTATCTTTTTCAAACCATTTAGTTATTGACTGCTCTTGTAAATTGAATAGATGTTTCTTACCCTGGCCAAATTAATTTAGGTCCCGATTATCAATCTTAAAAAAACTATGCCAATACTTTTCAGAGCGGTCATGCAAAATCCGTTTTAATCTTTCCCATCGTTTAATATCTCTGTTACTTTTTGTGTTATATTTATATTTCTTCAGAGTTTATCTACTCGACCAAACTTGTATTTTAAGGCGTTTTAAAGTTCAATAGGTTACCCTATACATTTTGTAAATAATGATATGCACGTTGCTATACGAGGTAATAAAGCCTGTAAAACATCATAATTCAGTCGCTGAATTGACATAGCGGGCGAAATGAGTCAAATGATGAGGTGGTAAAGTTGGCTTTGGCCCGCCGACCGACGCTGCAGGGAACTTCAGTGACGAAGAGTCCCGATAAAAGGATAAAATCACAAAATTTTTAAACATAGATAAAAGTTCTTTCACGAATATGTCATCTATTATTGAAATCCTGCTTACGTACCAGCTATCTGGCAATTTCCAACGAAAAGTTACTAAATTTTATCAAAACACTAAATGAAATATTTGCAAATAAAAATACTTAAGAGTTTTTCTGAAACAATCAGAAGGCTTGTCTCTATTTCAACTAATTAGCTTTGAATGCTGACTTGTAGCTTCATCCCTCGAAAATCATGGACTAATAATACGGTCAAGAGTCACTTTTGCTACAAAATAACTGAGTCTTGAGTTTACCATCTTCTTCAGTGTAAGACATGAATACAGTTTTTGGTAAAATCTGTTACAAAAAGCTGCCCAGTCGATGAAGCAGCAACTGTTCCAGGGCACTCCAGGCCAAGTACTGAGTTGACAAACTTTCCATCCAGTGAGAACACGAGCAGCCTGTGGTTGCTGGGGTCACACACGATCAAGTTGTTGAACTTGTCAATGGTAATTCCAGTAGGATAACTCATTTGTCCGTCACCACAGCCCACGCCACCAATGCTGTACTGAAACCATCCATCCTTGTTGAACACTTTGACTACATGATTCAAGCCGTAACAAACGAAGAACCTCTCTTGGTGACTAATAGCGAACCATGGAGGATCATTCACCAGGCGATCTTTGAATGGCTTCATCATCAATTTTGTACCGTCAGGGGAGAGGACCTTTACTGTGTTATCGCTCCAGTCACACAAGATCAGATTCTTATCGCCACTGACAGACAAGAATCTTGGATCTTTCGCGAGTTTTTTGGAAGCTTTTGTGAGACTGTCATCATCGTTATTGAAGAAATAAATATCACCGCTAGCGATGATGACGATGTCACCAGAATTGGTGAATCCCACGGAAGTAGGAGAATTCAGTTCCTTTCCACCACAGCCAGATTTACTTATCTCTTTGGTGAAGTGTCCATTGGAGCTGAACAATTGTACCCTGTTGTTCTTAGCATCAGCAACGGCAATGTCCCCTGTCTGTTCGTTGATTGCAATGTCACAAGGTCCATCAAATTCTCCTGTGGCTTTACCAGTTCTCCCGAAAACTGATCCAATTTCGTATTGATGTGGAGTCACGTGAACACGCCAGGGATTTAAAGGAAGGGGGTTTCCATTGACAGCGATCGATATTTCATGTTGTCCGTCGCAGTCAGGTGTATAGGACACGATGTATGAACCATTTTTATTGTTTATAATCTCAGTGCTGAGATCCTTTCCAAGTGGAGTCTGGATTTTCACTTCTATCTTATCGTCCGCGTTGTAAACCTGTTTTTGATTTGCATCTCGGGTCAGGATTTTGAGGGAAGACGCTCTTCCGATTTCTACTCCTTGCAGGCCTTCTCTCTCTACCACTGAGTAGACAGTCGTTGAATTGTCGTCACTTACGACTCGGCCCAGGATTGCGCATTTTATTCTTTGAATATCTTCATCGTTTGTCTCGTACCTGACATTCAGCGCCGGTGTTTTATGATGACTTCTGCCAGCATCGCAGAGATCTTTGCCATATTCATCGACAGATTGACAAGTTTCTAAAATTTCATCAGGGTCGTTTTTGTTTAAGGTGGCTTGTAATTCTTCTGATTTGGTTTTTAACCGCTCGCAAGACTGCCTTAAGTGTTCGTTGTGTTTTTTGTGAACTTCTTCAATATCGTTCAAAATGTTCTCCGTGTCCTTTTTGTGATCCTGTAACATCTGTATGAGAGATTCAACAGTCTTCGCTACCACTCCTCGGGCTTTTTCAATGTTTCTTTGACTTCGTGTCAACTGGTCGCCTGCTTCTTCCACCTTCATCTCATAAACACGAATTTTCTCTTCCATTTTCTTCACAGCTTCTTTTATCTTTGGCTTTTGTCTATCTGCAGCATGTCGTTTTTTCATTGTAGGGTGATCAATGTGATTACTTTTTCTATCCTGGTCGGAAATGCACATCTTGCATTTCTCACAGTAAAAATCCAGAGTTGGTGGCTCGACAGGTTCGGTTCCTAAATACAGAGAAAAAACACAGATTATAGTTACAGGCCCATCCAAAATCCTTAAATTCAAGATATAAATTGGTCGGCTTGAGGGATTAATGTACTTGTATTTCCTTTTAGGACGTGGTTTGTTGTAATGTTAAGAATTGCAACATAAATCTATCTGAGTGCAAAGGGAACGATATAATGACATTCGTTAAAAGGTAGCGTAGCGCTATCAAATTTACAATGGGAGGGTTTTTATTCTTGGTTTTTATTCGGAAAGACCATTCGAATCCCCTCTTGTGAGGTATCTCCACTGGAATAGAATGATTATTACCCCACCCTCCTTGCTTCTCCCCCCTCGGAGGAGCTACTCAAATGATCCTTGGTAACTTAAGAAAGATAGTCTGGTTTCAGAAGACACTTATTCATCCTCGCTCACAAAAATGATGCTGGTAAACTCAGTTCCCTTGACGACCTTCGTATCTTTCCATCTTAAAATATGGATAGTTTGTTCACTATCTGGTGAAGATATCATATTTTTGAAATGGGAGAATTCCTAGTACTGCATTAATATCGGTATAATAATAACAAAAATGTTTTACCTAATTTATCAAAATAATTTTCAGGATAACTATAGAGAGACAATCAACATACCATTGTTTAATACTTTCTTCGATAGTTTCGATAGATAGTTTTCGATAGTCCCCATTTGGTTTCCCAACTTGTCCAGTTTATACGTGATACCTATTTCATTCTTCTGCCATTCTTCAAGAAGGTCTTTGTATTTATCTTCAGTTTCAGGGTCCATGCAAGCAGTTTCAAGATTTTTAATCTCTTTCTGATACTTATTACCTCCCAGTCTCACTAGAGCGGCCCGGATGTCAGACCAGTATTTTTTGAATTCCGCTTCATCAACTGAAGTACGCTCGGCATGAGCGTACACAGTGTTTCTGTAATATTTCACACGAGCAATGTCTGCTGCAGTGCTTTCGTCTGACTTGGGAGGAAGGTTGTTCCATCCTTTCGAGGGTTCAGATAAGTCGCAGATATTTCGAAATAAAGCAGTTAAAAGTGTGATGTCAAATCCTGCTGATGACACTTGAGTAGGGTCAGAAGGAAAAAGCTTGTCCATCTGAGGCGAATAGAGAATCCTTCGATCCCTCAGCTTCTCTAACTCTGCCTTGTTTTCCGCCAAAACTGCGTGAAGTTTTGCTGGGGGATGGATTTCATCGAATTTATCTCGGAGGGCCTGGGTTCCAATATCAACCAGCAGACGACACAAGCGGGCATAGTTCGTTCTTCCCTTAGTGGATGAAGTCGGTGGTGTTGCGCAAGCCATGAGGAAAATTTGCTATAAGAAAAACAAAGCCAGATTTATAAATAAAATGTAGATGAATAGCATCAGTAGCTATGGATAGAAAATCAGGGTGTTTAATGGTGAAAATCAGGGTATTTGATGGTGAGCTCAATACAATTCAGATTTCTGTCCCAGTAAGTTTATATCATTCGCCATACACAATTGATTAGCCTGACTCTTACATCGATAGACAAACGTTCATTTATTCAGGTTTGTCAACGGGGCTTATTTCCAAAAAAAAATAATTTCACACACGCCAACCGCCTCAGAGTTTATTCTATTGATATATATCATTGTATATATATATATATTGTATTATTACATCTATTTAATTCATCCATCCATTTGCAGACTATTTAAGGCTGAATTTATTTCATTTTTTTAAAAAATAACCAAAACAAAAACGACAATCAACAAACTGACCGACACATTAATCGCATGATTTTATGACTTACATGAAAACGGAAACACTGGCTTGCACTTTCTGCCAGCTTACAGGATTGTCATATTGTTCAATTTTGCTCTAATTTTGAGTTCAGTTCCAAACTTCCTGCAAGCTTGCTTTTTTGGCTCAGCATTTTCCCCTGAGATCTCCTGATACGCAAAACTAGCACAATATTTTCTTTTCTTCAACTCAAACGAAAGAGGGGTCCAACATTTTAATTCTTGGGGAAAATGAGGGCAAACGAGAAACATCGTGTGAAAACTAAAGAAATAGGACCTGCCCTTGAAAATCGATCATGTTTTTATTGTTTTTAAATTTTTCCCTTGGGCTGCTCTTTAACTGATGATCAAAAAAATGCAGTTTGACAGCGTGTCCCATGTGGGCGATGGTGAAAATTGTTTGTCAGGGTAGAAAATTGTTGATGTGAAACTGAACGAACCTTTGCAAATAATACTGAAAGAAAGCTTAACAACAGAATGGGGAACTTCTGAAAACTGTCAGGTGAATTCATCTCATCTCATTAATTTGGGGTACAAATTTCTTTCTCTGCCCAGCCCTCCGCTACACATAAAGTTGTCGAAGATTCAACCGTGTCCTTGACTACATACATACATACATATATATATATATATATATCTATATCTAATCATATATATCTAATCAAAAGGCATAATTATGTGGCATTTTTTTCAGCTAATTGAAATAAAATTTATTGTGAAAGGAAAAAATGTGTTTGGCAGGTGTACATTCAGAATTCGTGAAAAACGAAAAAGACAAAAAAGATGTGTCATGATCATGTGTAAAAACTGAAAAGGTTACGATTGCTGGAAGAAGGAAGCAGTTATTTTTAAGACAACTCTATCAACTTCATCCTCAATGTTATTGACTATTGATTGCTGTGAAAAAGGTTAACTTGGATTGCATCATTTGTAAAACTCGAAGACAGTTAGCGCGCCTTTAACCTCGGCTCCTTTAACACCCAAGATCTCATCAGCAATTCTCCCTATTGCCTGCCATTCAATCCTTACTATGTTAGTTCGGAGAATTTAGTATTGGATCAACTGATAATTCTCAATTTTTTTTCTTACTCGTATCAATTGTCCGCTTGATATTGCCTTAATAGTGTAAAAAAATTAAGTCACTCATGGGAGCAAAAGGGTTAAAACAATGTAGCAGCAATCTAACGGTGTGAAATGAAATGCTAATCATACACACTTTAGCTCCGACCTGGCAAATTGTAATAAAATGTTGATCCTGCTACACGTACTGATCGATCGACATGCCACAAGTTTGTCTTTTCTGAGAGGCACGTGCTCAAGGTTGCATAAAGAACTTGAAAAGCGTACTTGTTGCCAAAGTTCCTCTTCGATGTGCTACAATATTATGCATCAACCTGTCGTTCGACTTCGTTGCGATACTCGAACGACTGTAAAAGCACCATTTCGTGTGCTACTCTAGCTAAATCTTTGGGAGCTTACTTATTTTCGGAACTAATCGACCATACCGCTCACTTGAAAATAAGGAAACGCTTTTGTAACTTAACGCTAAACCTTTCTCAGTTTACAAAATACCATAGGAATAGCAGAAACAATTATGAAATACACTGACCGGCTGGAGGTTTTTAATCAATTGATGAAAGAATTCTCGCTATGATTAGATCGATATGGTCTGCTAGATCCGTTTTTCGGTAAAAGCATTAGTCGTGAAAACAAACCTGTGATGTCTGAAGTTTGATAAAAAGATTCCTGAACGATGAAAATCGGATATCCGTGGATCACTTGAAGTAATGCGGAGAAAGGACGGCTTGATTTAACCATAACTCATAAATAGAGTCTGACAGGAAGTTGAACGCGTGCTTCTCTCATGAAAGCGAAAGTTTTCTTGTTTATAACATTTGATGGAAACTGAAAGCTAAAAGCGAATAATGTTCTCAAGATAGCAACGTCTTCCCGTGAATAAATCAAATTTTTCATTTCAACTAAAATAGAAGCTTGGGCAAATCACACGTGCATTCATGTTATCTGTGAATAAGTTCAGGATAATTTGAAAAGAAGTTAAGAAAACAATTTTTCAGCATTAATAAAAAGCTCCCGTGCAATGAGTTAGGAGTATTTGGGAATTGCGAAAATAATTTATTTGTTTGATTTTCATTCGCAGGCCCAATAAAATTTATCTTATGGCAAGTGGTTTGTTGTACTTGTTGATTGAGCCGATAAAGCAGTATATTCTTAGAAATTTTCTTTACTTTCGAGTTTTTACTTGTGTGATTACATGACAATTTCTATAGTTGTAGGATAAATGGATTTCTTTATGAGAAACACACATTGAAATTACGCGTATCAGTTCATAAAGCTACGAAGCAGAGCGGATATGTTACACTAATTAATTGGGTGTCCTCCCTTCAAACATTACTATGCCAATGAAAGAGTAGCCTGTCAATACAGAGAAGGCGTTTTCGTCTTTTATTTGGAAGAAAAGCTGAAAAATGCTTCTGATGATATAAGGAGAGACAAAAGGTTTTGAATATCAGTTTTGTGTCAGAAAAACTAACTGAAGAGATTCTCAATTAAAGCCAACAAAGACTAATCCTTGACCTACAAAGTGGTTTGCAGTTACTCAAAGGTTACGATGCTTTTCTTTTTGGGATCAGTAATATAAAGCAATGGCCATCGAGTACACGAGCTAACTGCTATACACCAAGGACAGTCCAGATTTTTGTTGCTAGCCATGTTTAGAAATGTTCCATTCAGTTTGAACACCTTTAACGCTTTGTTTTCCTCGTCACAAACCACCAGGTTGTTATAGGTATCAACACCAAGTCCGCGGGGCTTACTCAATTGACCTTCACCTGCTATCTCATTGCCAATATCATAGAGAAAGTCCCCATCCTTGTTGAAAGTTTTAACACAACCAGCTGTGGGGTATGACACGAAGAACATGTCTTGGTGACTAACAGCTTCCCACGGGGATTCATCGCAGTCTGGTACTCTAAAGGACTGTAACAATTCTGTACCTTCAGGAGAGAGGACCTTGACGGAATTGTCACCTAAGTCGCACACTATCAGGCGGCCATCACAGTCAACGAGAATGGGAACTTGATTTCTTTGTTGTTAATAAACTCTGCAGATTGACCACGGACAGTTAAACAATAGATAGAACCAGAGGCAGTAACCAGCACGTCACCACAACGGTTGAATGCAACTGAGGTGGGATCTGTTAGTTTTGGTCCATTTTGACCAAATTCAGTTATATGAAAACCACATGTGCTGAACAGTTGCACTATTTGTTTCTTTCGATCTGCTACTGCCAAATTTCCTGTCTTATTGTCTATTACAATGGCGCAGGGTTCTCTGAGTTTTGCCTTTCTAAGTGGCTGGAAATCACATGAGAATCTATACCGGTGTGGAGCCACATGTACCCTCCATGGACTACAAGGAAGAGGTTGATCGTTAACAAAAACTGTCACCTCGTGTTCTCCAACACGATTGGGTGTGTATCTGACCCTATATGTCCCAGGTGACATCCAGTTGTCAATCATGGTGGCGAGGTCCCCTTCCACTGGACTCCGAACTGTTACTTTGATCTCATCAATTTTATGGTAACACTGTTTCCCATTTGAATCAATTGTTTTGATATCAAAGATCTTTGTACATCCAGCCTCAGCTATTACTGAGTCATAACCTTTCACATATGATCTTAGTGGATCAGTTTTACTAACGAATACTTTACCTGGATCTGTACTTGTCAAATTCTGAACGTAATTCGTATCTTTAAGGTAGAAAACGTGGCAAGGCTTAAAAACGTCCATTTTTGTTGCTCTTAGAACACCTTTAAACCTTTCAATTTTCGCCTGTTGCGATTTTAGGGTCTCGATGGTGGTGTCTCCTCGTAACATTTCCTCGCAATTTCTCACAGAGATTTTTAATTCGTCTACAGATGTTTCGAGGCTTTCTACTTGTCCAGTATAGTCTCTTTGTTGCGCTTCTTCTAGAACATCCAACTCGGTCACCATGGACCTCTCGTGCTCCCTTAAAACATGAATGAGTTCTTCAACGATTGTTCGCACACTATCCCGAGCTGCAGAGATTTTTTCTTGATTGCAAGTGTTTTTGTTGTTTCTGTAATTTGTGTCTCAAGCTCAGAAATATGCATTTTCATTTGTTCTATAGTCTCTTCCATTTTCAGTTTCTCTTCCTCGGTAGCCTGTTGTATGTTCACTTTGGTGTGTTGAATGTGACGAGTCTTACTACACCTATTGCAAATGGAAACTTTACATTTCTTACAATTGTGATCCAGAGGTTCAGTCTCGTGGCCTTTCTCTATACACATCAATGAGTCCTCCAACAGTTCTTTCGACACGATGGACTCCCCTAGCGAAAACGCAACTGAAAAATTTAATAAGCGAGCGAGAACTTCTTCCTCTTCTTCTTTGGAAACATTAACGTAACGAGTTTTGATGCTTCGAATACGTTTTATTGTGAAGCGTAAAAGCGCGTTCAGTGACGACTCCAACTTGCAAACATGTGGAACAAACGTAAACCCTCTCTCTCACTGACACTGTGAGCTGAACATATACAAGTAAGTACATTACTGAGCGTTTAAAATTTTCAATTTCACGATCTGCTCTTGCCTCATTGAACTTTTTACTAGTGGTTTTTCTCTTTTATTTCTCAGATAAAGTGGACGACGGAGATATGTTAGCTTTGAAAGAGCAAAAATAATGCAAAAGAAATTCCAACTGACCGAAGTCAGTATACTTATGTTCCATTCTAGGTTCAAATCATCCAGCCTTTGTATGACATTTTTAATTATGATGCCAAGTTCATACAGCTGGTCGTTCACGTTGCATTCATCTTTCTTCCACTGGCTGAGAAGTTCTTTGCAGTGTTCTTCAGTAGAAGTTCTTTTCAGTGTTCTTCAACTTCTGAGTCCATGTACTCAGTTTCAAGATAGTCAATGGCTGATTTGTATTTCGCCCCACCCAGTCTCACCGAGTCTCACCTGATGTCGCTTCAGCATGTGTTCAGTGAAAGTCGCATCATCAACTGAAGCACACTCGGTAAGACCATACACAGTGTTTCTGTAATATTTAAAACGAGCAATATCAGCTTCACGACTCATATCTGCCACAGCAGGAAGTGTATACCAGCTTGTTACGGGAGAAGATAAACCGCATATGCATGTTTCGGAGCAGGCCAGGACCATTGAAAGTGTGATGTCAAAATTTGCCGATGACATCGAGGATGGAATGGCTGGAAGGAGCTTTCCCCATTGCGTTACGGTTATAACTTTTCTTGTTTTCAGTGACTTCAATTTCGTCGCTTTCTTCTCTACTAAAACTGTGTGAAGATTATCTGGTGGATGGATGACATTAAATGTGTCCCTGAGGGCCTCGGTACCAGCATCAACCAGAAGACGACACCAGCAAGCGTTCCTTAGTCGAGGAGTCTGTTGGTATTACAGCAGCCAAAAACGACCTAAGGCAGGGAAGAAACTTTTAAAGCTATAGATTCTTCTGTAAAATGGCAGTTGGAAGTAAAATCGAAGGGACCTCACACCAGCGGCATTGATGAGCGTCCCTTCAAAGTCCTAACATGGTGATTCGATTTAGCCCCCGAGGGGCTCATTTACTTTTGATAACTTAAGGAGGGACACTTATTAGGATTGGGGCCCTTATTGGAATGAGAGTACTCACTCAATCGGGGGCACCTATTTGAATAGGGGCGCTTATAAACAAAATTTAAATTCAAAGGGGGCGCTTATTAGAACGAGGGCACTAAATCGAAATCACGGTAACTCACTCAGGTGTTGTTTCAGCCGAGAATAGATAAGTATTTACTTAGTGATTAAATGCAAAACAGTAGAATCAGGCTATCAGCCTCTAGTAGAACCTTTAAAACCTTTTGGAGAGAAAAAAGTCATTTACACGAAACGATGACTGTTAATAATTAACTTGGCGAGATAATTATTACTTTCCGACCCTATTTTTTGGCAAAAAGGGCACATATAGCTCAAACTCGAAAATTAAGTCGACCTACTGGCTGATCTCCAGAGTAAAAATCGTTCCCTAGTCTCGCCAACAAGTCCATGTGTAGACAGCCGGTGGTAAAGCCCCTGCTTTGCCCTTGGTAGTTTCCTCCCGAACTGTCCTTTGCCTCAACGAACGATACTTCTCCACAATTCTTTCATAGCACTTTCAGTCTCGGGTTAATCTCCTCGTAAAGTTTGACATTTGTAAACTCCGTGCCGGTATGGGGGACACTATAGTAGGATTTTTCATGAGTAAAATGCTTGGTAGTGTTCTAAAGTCTTGGGAATACTGCAATGCGGTGAAGGTCTCATGCTTAAAATGGGAAACTGCGTGTAGATTCTCCACAACTGTTGTGAGTAATGTGCACAATTCAAAGTCTTCGAGATAATCGTTTTTAGTTGAAGATATGTTGTTGTGCAGGCGGCGCATTCCTACCACGAGAAGTTTAAGTGAGACTTGAGTTTTATTAGACACAGTTCCTTCAGGGCCGTTGGTTGCTTTGTGATGTTGTCATTTACATACGATACTTTGTCTGCGAATAGCCCTTGCGGTAATTATTAACGAAATATGACACTCTGTCGTACTCTAACTGATATGTATTGGACAAAGTAAATCAACTGACCTTATTTGACATCCAGTTATTAGGATGTTTAGGGCGATCCGGTCTTTTGTCACCTGTCAGTAAAAGCCCACCACAAATGTCAGTTGTCAGTTAGATTTTCAGCGATTTGTCAGTTGTCAGTTAAAATTTTGGCCATTTGTTAGTTGTCAGTTGACCCCATCCAGACCCTCATTTAACCTCAACATAGAGCACATACCTTAGTTTCCGCAATAGATTACGCTGAAAAATCATTTCAATTTTTTTTTTCCGGCAAAGATTTTTTGGTGGGCGTGACGCTGGGTGTCAAGTCTTTCCAGCGGAATACAATTATTATATCTTTTAATACAGTGTGGAGGTGTTTAAGGTAAAGAGTTCACTTTCGCGAGAGAATGGCGCAGAAGAAAGGTTTCACAAGGTCTAGTTTTTAAAGCTTGGTTAAGGAGTGGAAAGTCATGATCGCTGAGTTTACCTGTCACAAAAAATTGGGTAGGGTATTTGAACACAATTTTGGCCCCGGGGGGCGGGAATTTGAATAAACCAATCTTCAAAAGTTCATATTCAAAGGGGCTTCCCAGAGCACAGGTGGCCCTAGCCACAGCTGTGAGATAATCATCTTGCCAAATAATCAAATAAGAGTCATGACGAAATTATTAGAGTTTATATGGGAATATTTACCACCGCTTTTAGGAATAAAGAAAAAAGCGAAAAATCCAAGCTCAAAATGACCTGGTGGCCACAAATCCAACGCAGAATCGAAGCACATATGCTGTAGTTTCATTTCAATTTACTGCAAACTCAATCTTCCTCGCGAAACCGACGCTAAGCCGCAGTTTGCTTACAAAAATTTCCAGTTTAGACGTTCCTAACGGATTGCGTACAACACCACGGTCAAACACGCGCATGCACGAGATTTTGAAACCATGCCTTTACAGTGTCGTTTATCAGAGAGACTGGGTTCGATATAGCCTGGGGGCTTCTTTACATTCATGGCAACGACATCTGGATTTTGTGCTGAGAAATGCCTGGATGCTATGGATCTTGCAGAGATGTGCACGATACGTACGAATCTTCTGGGCAATAACTCATTGCAAAAAAGGCAAATCGTGCTTGATTGGCTATGAATGCATGCCAAACCAAATGAAAGGTACAGTTCATTTTATGATGTCCTATAGTGGCGCCGATCGACTAACTATTAGCCACATCGATTAAGTCAGAGGACAACAAAGACATCAATTTCCTGGTCACATCTAGATACTCAGGGAGTTTCTTCTTGTAGATTGCCTAAATCATAAATTAGAATGAATCAAAGAAAACGTTTTCCTAGCCATTCCATGACAAGGTTTCAGCCAGGATTCCTCAGGCAGACCTTCCAACCCTCATCAAATGCAAATCTGGAGTTTTTGAAAAAAAGCCTAGGAAAACCTGGAGATTAGGACCTCAAACCTGGAGACTTAAAAAATATGCATCAAATAAAAACAACAGCGACAGATTATTTGTTTCAGAGTATTCTTTGCCTTGTTTAGTGCTCTTTGTTGTACTCTTTCGCTTTTTTTTTTTTTTTTGCAGAGCTGAGAAGATTCTCATTGGGGTTGAACTTAAAACACGGTGAGGTGTCCTCTGGGTTATGTAACTTTATTTCTAGTAAATTCTCGAGAGTCCCCTCCAGTTTAAGGGGGGAACGGCTATCTGCTTTGTTCTCACAAACCATGCTGTCAACAGCCTCTCTCCCCTGCATTACTGTGTGGCAAAACCAGCTCTGTCACCTTCTGAAAATGGCATAATCTCCTAGCTGATGATTCAGGAATTATCATTTTTGATACTTACCACCCCAGGATGTCTACCCTGTAATGGAAAATTTCCTGATCATTTACTAATCCATCAACAACTTAAGCTTCCTTCCAAACAATCAGACCAATGTCTTCATCTGTTAGAGACTGATGATTGTAAAATTCGTCATACATCTCATCAATGTTCACAGTGTTCAAGGCTGACTGGAACCTGGATAGAAAGTACTCTACACTCTCCCACTTTGCTTGCCTACATTTCTGAACATTGATCCATCTTGCATTTTTCACTGGAATGAGGCTGACATTTTACTCAGGTTTCTCTCACAAATTAGTTGTGATCAATTCAGAGCACAGACTTTTTACTATTCCTTCATACCTTTTGGAATGGTTTGACAATTTCAAGGTTTTTTAATTCACTGTGAGATTTAGAGTTGTGAGATTTAGACTGTGAGTTGGCATCCCAAACTGTGAGTCTCATGGTCAAACTGTGAGAGTTGGAAGGTATACCTCATGTTAGTTTTCTATTGACCTACAAAGCATCCCTTTTTATCCAGGTGAATACAAAGTATGCAGTACTGTATATTGCATGGTTCTTGGACTTAGCACAGCAGCTTTAAATGAAACTTTTCAAAATTTTCACACTGGTGTCAAAGCTTTGCAAGCATCAACATGCAAGAAGCAAGAACCTCACACACAAGATGCTGATGGCTGAAACTTGGATGGAAGCATACTTCAAAAGGGTACTGACTGTAATGATTGACTTTAAGATTTATTTAAATATTTTCTCCATTGAAACATAATTTTTATACAGACCTGACAAATGTGGGCTAATCTTATGCATTCCCCCCCCCCCACTCCTTATAAAACAATAGAATATGATAAAAAGGCTTGAATTTCATTTGGCATGACTAGATGTGAGCCTTCAATGCTAACTTGTTTAAGTATCCCTCACAATATTAATTGCACTGGTTCTTACAAACTCCTTTACTTAACCATAGTTTTAACATAAAGCACAGTAAGCTAAACTTATTTGTTTGTATGCTGTAAATCGTTCTCATTTAACACAGATTGGTGATAAGATGTGTGATACCGGTGCATTGCATCTTCCAAGCTTTCTGGACAAAACCATCATTTATGGATATTTGAAAGCAGAGAGGAAAGATGAGGATGAAAATGTTATTCATTACAGTACATTTTGCTATCTTTTGAGGAATGTGTTTCCTTTTGTTAAAATACCCAAGGTGATGTGAAACTTTAGTATTTGTAATATTATTTTTGGATGCTTATGCATGACTGATCTATTAAGATGTCGAGAAGAAGGATTTATGTTAAATCCGTGGATCAGATGGAATTTCCCTGCTCCTTCAGATTTCCGAATGAGGACTTAAAATCTATTTTCACTGCTTTGATTACTTTAACCTGAAGCTGCAAAATATATGCACTGTAGCAAAGCAATATCTCAAAAATGGTTAGATGATTGTCTTCCACAAGAAGTGTTATTTTTCAGCATAAATAGATAGTACTTTACTGCAGGTAAACCAATTTACAAGATGTGACTGCTGCACGGCATTGGGTGAGGAGAAGAGAAAAGCTCAGGATGAGGATGTGCAAAAATGCCTACCCAAGCTGTTTGATTTCCAGAATGATCTTCAAATGTAAGTACTAATTTCTTTTAAGACATAACTTTTGATGACTGCTTCCTGATATATCTGTCATGTGATATATATTTTTATAGGAAAGAGAGAAAAGTGTATTACCATCAAGAAGACAAAGCTAAGAAGTATCCACAATAATAAGCATGTATTGCACAAGATGGCATGGATCAGGCAAAGCATCTCCTTCTACAATTAGTAGTTATTGTGCATGCATATGCTCGTGCAAGAAAACTGCAAAACTCATATGACTGGTGTGTTAAACCATGGGAGGTAGCCTAAAGGCTATTTTAATGTATTCCAATTTTCCCATGATACAAACTTCACCATAAATATGTTACTCCTGGAATTACAAAGCATGGGAGAGGACCTGACAGATACCTTTTGCCTACAAATGGACAACTGCTGGAGGGAGAATAAAAATCAATATGTGCTAAACTTTTTAGCTCTTCTTGCAAAGCTTGACATAAGAAGCTTCTCAAAAGAAAATGAAATTTTAAAGTGGTACATTTGAATGAACAGTTAGTTTAAATATTTAAATGTTAATATGTAACATTTTACTGAACTTTGAGGTGGGGATTGCTCTGATCATGCATGGGCAACAAAATTCCTTCAAATTCAATTTTCATCTTTGCAGGTGAAACTGAATTTCTTAATGGTTGGACACACTCATGAAGCTGTTAACCAGATGTTTAACAAGTAAGAATCAGAGTTTCATTTTTATTATATTAAGTTGAGAAGAAAACTCTCATTAAGAATAGTTAAATGGTAGAACTATCTCATTAATGCTGCCGAAACACTCAGCTATAGTTGCACTACTAGGATGACACTTTGTTGTCAGCTTCAAAGTTCTAATTTTACACCTATGGTTTTTTTTACTTCATATTCATATTTAATTGTCTCACAGGCTTTCTGAATTTCTGGCAAAGAAGGACACAAGAACCTTCAAAGGTACTGTTATGATGACTGCAATCAACTTTTAGCTTGGAAAATAATTGCTATGAATTTCTCTTTAAAATTTGACCATCTGTCATTTGACCTTAATATTACAGTTGGATTGATGTGCATAATTAGTATGATCATAGTTGTGTTTTAACCCTTTAATTGATCAATGTGTATCCTCTCTTGACAATATGGATTGATCCATTATCCAAAATTTTTTTTTTATTAAAATTTTTTCTCTCCTTATTTTATAGCACTCATGACATCCTTTGAGAGATGTTACACCCCATCTCCAAAGGCTGTAGAGGTTGAGCATGTGTTTGCTCTTAAGGAGTGGATGTCATCCTTTTCAACCATGCTTCACAACATTTCAAACCCTCATGCATTTAAATTTGCAAAAGCTCCATCTAGAAAAGTTGTCATCCAGTACAAGAATTGGGAAAGTGATAAACAGGAAAACCGGAAACCCTTTAGCCCTGATCCAGAGCAGTGGTTAACCATAGTGAGAGTAAGTGGAATCTGCCATGCAATGAAGAATGATTAAAAACAAAAAAAT